ATTGTGCAACATAATTAGATCACAGGCAGAGGGGAGGATTTTTGTGTGTAATTGCTGGGAGTGTTTCTGTAATGTATGTTTCTGATTGGTTGTTGTGTAAAACCCTGTGGGTGGTCCTATCTCAGGGAAACCTGCATAAAAGAAGGTTCTTTGTGTGCCAATAAACAGATCATCTTGTACCTTCATGAAGTTTCGGCTCATGTTTGGGGGATTGGAGAAACTACACTCTGGGGATTGCTATAATCACTATACTCCCCAGGGTATAATCACTAAGCTCTGCTAAGAGCTTGTTCCTGTTCCTGCTCTCTGGAATTGGGAGAGAGGTCGACCTGCTGGAAGCTGGACCCTGGTCCTGGGTCCAGAGTGGGTGGAGACAGCGAGACCCCAACCAAGCTGCGGCGGTTCGTGGGGTCTGCAGTGGTTATGGTGTCAGGCAGAGTGCTTGGAGTCCTCGGAAAGCACTAGGAGCATCCGTCGGCAGAAGGTACCCGGTCGGGGTGCCAGCGGTTCCGTTACAGGGGTTACTTAACATCAGCTTTGACAAATATTGTTTTACGATATCTGTATTTTTACCTCTAAATTCCACTGCATTGTCACTGCTTTTCTGGGACTGGTTTATTCCTTAAATCGTGAACTGGCAGGAATTCAAGGTGACGTTAAAATGAATGAAATGAACACATAGCTAATCCCGAAAAATTTTATAATTCAGCTTTCATGGGTCTATATTATACATTGATTATCAAGATTATTATTAAAGGAATACTATAGTGTTAGTAATACAAAACTGTATTCCTAACACTATAGTGTACTTCTGTGCCCTTCCTCCTGCTGGCAAGTAAAGGGTTAAAAAACCTTTCCCTGACCTGATTCCTGCGCCGAGATCAAGCTACTCCTCCACCGTAACATTGATCAGGAAACCTAATGCGCATGTGCAGCAAGAACATTAAGCCTTCCGCATGTGAAAATATTGAATTAATTATTTCCTATGGGTTTTTCCAAGATGTTGGGTATCTTCATGTAATGTGTGAGGATGCTTAGCACCGTTTCACTGAGATAAATGCAGTGAAACTACAGGGAGATAGCCACTAGAGTCAGTCTTAACCCTACAGTGTAAACTTTGTAATTTCTTTAAAACTGCAATGTGCTACATTGCAGGATTAAGGAGGCAGTGACACTGCACCCAGACCACTTCAACAAGCTGAGCTGGTCTGGGTGCCTATAGTGTCCCTTTAAACTGACAATTGTAGATTATGCTAGCTTTAGTGAACCTATAATCTTATTTTTTTAAATGGCAGGAGGCAAATATTTGCTTAAATCTCTCTTTACTAGAACTCCACAGCAGCACATTAACACAGAGAAAAAAAAAATCAATCAGAAAAAAATTACGTACAATAAAACTCCCCTCCCCACACATAACTTCCTCTTTCAAGCTGCGACAAAACCGATCAAAAGGCAGAAAAAACAATGTAGAGAAAAACTAAGTCCTAGTATATAATGAATGCAACAACGTCATCCATCCGAGAAGAAATGACAAACATGGCACCACGGACGGACTGTAAACTAAAACGAGTTTAGGGCTGGTTAAACAATGAAACAGAATCGAAAGGGCTGGTTAAACAATGAAATGTACTCTGAACAAACATGCGGGCACCCACTGTAACAACCAGAATTACCGTAATATACAGAAATACCAACCTTGATGTAGGAAGCGAAAACATGAACAAGTGACAGGTAGCAGAGACAACAAGCAGAGTTGTATACATACCGCATTACCCCAAACATGTGACAACTAACCCAACATGGGAGGGATGAAATAGGGAGGGAAATATTCGCCTCCTGTCATTAATAAAATTAACATTATAGGTACACTAAAGCTAGCAAGAAACTGGCATCAGTACTCAACCTTGATGAGAAAGGAGGCCTCTCCAATTGTCCAAGGGTCATCCGTCGATGTAGGCGGCAAACAGTTTTCCAATCCCCAAGATGCATGTCTGAGTCCACTGTAACGATTGGGACAGAACCGAATGGAACCTTTCCGTTCCCCCCTTGATCCACGATGCGAGTGGTCTCAACTGAGAAATATTCCACCACCCGGGACAATGTGCGGAGGGGCCCCTGGCCGCACCCTAGATGTCTCCGGTACGCAAAGCAGATTGAGGAAAACTGTGATTGTGGTAGTCCAAGAACTCTTAAGGGCGTGTTTATCCAGAATCCCAAGAACCTCACCAGTGGGACGAGGTGAGGCTCGATTTCCTGGGTAGGCCGCGAAGCCTCGAGATACGAACAAGGGGAGTGTAAACAGAGGTTGAAATCCCAGTCTGAAGGCGGCGTCACGGAAAAGCGATACGAAGTCTGGATCCATGAGGTAAGGAAACCTTTCTAACCGAAGATGAGTTATCACTGGTCATAGCCGCTTGGTGGAACACAAGGGTCGAATTCGGGCCAAAGGATAGCCAGGCGGGCCTGGTGTGGCCGGCTGTTCCACAGGGCGTGTAGCAAACGTTGGTAAATTTAACATGCGCCCACCGAATCCAGTGGTTTAGGGTAGTGTGCAAGTTCGCCCGCCTTCTTTCAAACCAGAAGGTTGGAGCTGTAGATGAAAAAAAAAACGGTGTCCAGTGAGAAACTGAATCAGTCCTTGTTGAACGGGGTCTGGGTTCTGGTGTATACCAGTGGGACTGTTGTCTGCATAGGGAGAAAGTGGAGTAGTCTGAACTGCTGGATGTACTACATCATTGTCGTTCAGCCCTGCCAAAAGGGACACGAAGAGGGTCTGATGGAACGCACGTCCCACTGAAGAAAGTGCATAAATGAGTGAGGTATATAGGCCCATGTATTTGCAGATCTCCTCAATAGCAACTCTCAAGAACAGGCCCTAGGCCAAGGAAATCAGTTGTATGAACTCAAAAATAAAAGATAAAAAACAAGGAGAAACCAGTCTAGTTGCTTTAACCAGGAGTGGATACCAACACCCAAAGAGTATTAAAAATAAATATATATATATATATATATATATATATATAAAGAATATAGATAGATGAATTAGCTTGTAGCATACATAGTATCAAAGCACCATGGATAAATAAAAACAGACCTTAGTCCCAGCTGAGTAAATGTATCTCGCTAGATAAATATACACTGTATCAGTGCATAAAAAATTGTCCACAGTTACAGTTTAGATAAAAAGTAAAAAGTATAGTTTAGAGATCAGTCCAAAAGTGTCCATTCACTGTAAACTCATATATATGCAATCTGGCTTGTATACCCTCTATGAAAACAGCAGGGGAAATGGCCAATGTGAGCTATATATGCTCTAGTAACAAACTAGTATATCGATCAATAATAGTGTGATACATACAAAATACAAAAGAGTATTAAATATGTAGAAGTGTGAGATAGACGGTTCTACACCTATTGTCAGTGCAAATCCTTAAATGTTATCTTCTGGTGTCAATCATTGAACTGTACCGTAGATAGTTCAGAGGCATAGGATTCTTCTTGTAAAAGACTTTATTATACTTAAAAAAGAAAATACGTGTATAAAATATGAAGAAATAAACAATCGCTCACCGATAGCATAAAAAGGGGGAACCTTCCTTTGGTGTCTTCCTCCCAGCAGTCTGTATACTCTAGAAATGCTGTCTCATCAGAGCCGGCTTCAGAGGCAACTTCAGAGTCCTTGTTGATAACTGCTCGTCAGGGAGATCCACCGCGTGCGTTCCACTTTGCTTCGGTATGCGCTCCACTATGAGTGTGTGAACAGATGTAGCCTGACGCGTTTCGTGATGTCCTGTCACTTCATCATAGGAATGCATCTTTCGTGTGTCGATGGATTTATATACCCCTTTGGCAATGTTAAGTTTCAATATGGTTAACCCTTTCATCACTTAATAACATTTAACTCCTAAGTGTCATGTTTGACAGAAACTAGCATAATATATACATATAATCAGTCTAAGACCAAAATACATCACTTTAATACATGTAATGATTGTATTAAAACCATTATAGTTTTAAATATGATCAGAATAAAAAATATGAAAAAATTTACATTAATTAGTAAAATTACAATAAAATGACATTCTAATAAAATAACATTCTTTCTGCATAGGTAATTAAATACAGAAACAATAATACGGAAATACATATCAACCTACATGACCATATATTCAAAAAGATAAAAATATCATATAAAATCTTAAAGAAACAACAGTCAAACACTTAAAAAGACCTCTTATATATAAGAAATCTCTTGTATAGAAAAAACAGGGAAATAACTAAAAAAAATAAAAAAAATATTTATGTGATACTAAGAAGATAGAATATACAGAGTCATCCTCATTTTAGTGAGAGGAAAATGGTTAGAAGAAAATAGTTTCTATGAGATACCCCTTAGTTCGTGTACTACAAAAAAAATTACCATCACCACTTCAAAAATCCCGAGAGAACTAGACACCTTTAATAACATAGGATCTGAAATCATATTCCAACAGAAAGGCAGAAGAAAATACGCTTTAATCTATAAAAGAGAAGGTGATTAGACTTATAGAATAATAAAATGAGAAATATAAAGATAATGTGGCTCAATTATCATTCGTGGGATTTTATAGAAATGCATTCAACTCAAAGTCCAAATTCAAACCCTTAGGTTCTAAAGTATCCAGCTGAAAAATCCATTTAGCTACTGCCCTCTCTAGAGCTTTTTCAAGAGCACCCCCTCTCCAACGTATGGCCATAAATTGTAATTCGCTTGGATTCACTTGAGTGTGTAATATGGAAATGCCTGGAGAGGTTATGTGTTGGGAGACTCTTTTTGATATTTCGGATATGTTCGGCTACCCTAATTTTGAATACTCTCTTAGTCCTGCCGATGTAATATTTACCACAGGGACATATCAAAAGATATATCACTCCACTTGAGTTGTAGTTTAGATTTGCCTTGATCTTGAAAGTCTCATTAGTTGTTGGATGCTTAAATTCATTAAAATGAGTTATTTGTGTTGTATTGTTTTTGCATCCCATGCATTTCCCACATTTATGAAATCCCATTAATGTTGATCCGGACTGTTTTATTTTCTCAGGATCTGGTCTAGTAGAGGGTCACCTTTAAGCATGTTCCAGTGTTTCTTGAGGATCTTGCTCAATTTAAAAGACTGATTACTATACTGAGTAATAAATGCTGGAATCTCCATATTCTGTTGTGGTTCTTTGTTTTTCTTCATTAATGTATCTTCTCTTGGTGTTTCAATTGCTTTCTTGAAAGCACCCTCTACTAAGTCGACTGTATACCCTTTATTCAGGAATTATTCAGGAATTCAGGAATTGTTTCTTCATATCTTCCATTTGTGATTTACATACTTCCATTTCTGAACAGTTCCGCCTAATTCTTCTGAATTGACTGTATGGGATGTTATTCAGCCATGTCTTTTTATGATAGCTGTTGAAGGGTATGAAACTGTTACAGTCCACTGTTTTTTTGAACGTTTTTGTGTTGATGATATGATCTTTGATGTAAATTTCTAAGTCCAGAAATTCTACTGCTTCTTTCGAATGTTGGAATGTGAATTTTAGATTATATGGATTAAAGCTCAAGTACTGTTTGAATTGTTCTAAAGCCATCAGATCGCCTTTCCAAATAAAAATGCAATCATCTATGTATCTTTGCCATAGGCCCAGGTTTGCCACCACAAGGGTGTTGTTCCAGATGAATTCCTCTTCCCATTTCCCCATAAAAAGATTTGCATAGCTCGGTGCAAACCTGGTACCCATGGTAGTCCCTTCTATTTGAAGAAAAAATTCACCCTCTGAACAAAATAAATTGTGGCTTAAAATATATACGCTATACACTCCAGCAGATAACTGATTTGGTCATGTTTTAGCTCAGAATGGACCACTAAATTGTATTGAACTTCTTCGCAGCCCTGTAGATGTTCTATTATTGTGTATAATGATGTCACATCAGCTGTTACCAAAATATAATCTTCTTCCCATTGTACATCTCTCAGAATCTGAATAATTTGAGTAGTGTCTCTAAGATAGGATTTTAATTTACTAACAGCTGGTTGAAGAAAATGGTCCACATATTTAGAGAGATTTGAAGTCAACGAGTCTATCCCAGAAATTATTGGTCTTCCTGGAGGATTGATTAACCTTTTATGAATCTTTGGTAAGTGATAGAATACTGCTAATTTTGGGTGTTTACATAGAATGTGGTCTGCTTCCCTTTTTGTTAATATCCCATGCTCTTTGCCCATATTCACTAATTCCACATGTTCATCCATAAATTATTGACTTGGATTCTGCTTTAGTTTAAGATATGTATCTGTATCACTCAAGAGTCTTCGATTTTCATTATCGTAGTCTTGACTACTCATGATTACTACTCCCCCTCCTTTGTCCGCTGCTTTTATGGTGATTCTATTATCTTGCATCAATGCTTTCAAAGCTTTTCTCTCCTTCTTCGTGAGATTGTCCTTAGAATCCGTATTGTTCCTCATGGATCTTAAATCCTTATCAACCATCCTTTCAAAAACTCTAATGTTATCACTTTTCATTTGTTGTGGGTAGAATGTTGATTTAGGATGGAGGTTGGTATGTACGTAATCATCCTCCATTCTTTCTTTAGTGTATTTATTTTCCAAAAAGAAACATTTTACAGTAAGCTTTCTGATGAACTTATGTACATCAATAAACATGTAAAATTTTACATTCTGTGAATTAGGAATAAATTTAAATCCCTTTTAAAGGATTGATATCTCATCTACAGTTAGTTCGTGATCTGATAAATTAAATAGGCTAGTGACTTCTTCATCATTCTCTTGTTCATTTACTCTTCTCTTAGCTCTTCTTTTTCTTCTCTTCTTGGTCTTTTACTTTCCACTGGAGACCAGGGGGGATTCCTTCTCTCCCTCCATGTTTTTTTCAATGCTGTTCTTGTCTCCTCTCTTTTCTCCAGGAGATTCCCTAAAAAAGATACCTGGGATTTCTGATGTGTATGACGCTCCATAGGTTTAACTTGTGTAGGTGAGTGACGTTGTGGAACTCTGGAATCATGGTTGATAGTTCTGGAATCTCGGGTATTCCTCCTCTCATTATATGGAGTTCTTTCTTGTAGGTTCTCCCGTCGTTCATTCCATCAATAATAGTGTGATACATACAAAATACAAAAGAGTATTGTATCTCCCTCTTGGTGTTGAGGGTTTATGTTGAGTGTAATAACTTCATTTTGGTGTATAGGGCTTCTGATGTAATCTCCTATTGGTTTCCCTGATGGGATAAGATATGTTGTAAGTTCTTCTTTCATTCACTTTTCTCCCCTGTTGAAAAGGTGGGATTGGATTTCCTTTGTGATGTGGTATGTGGTTAGGATTGTGCATGTTCCTAGACCTATGCCAGTTTCGTTGAATCCCTTTTTCATAATCTTCCTTATCTAACTATTTTCTTTCTTTTTCCTTCTCTTATCTTAATTTCCAAATCTTTCACTCTTCTTTCAATTTTATCTAGCAATTCTGCAAATGAACCATCTTCGGCTTCTGGGTAATCTCCAATTTAAGCTTCTCAATCTCTATTTCAATTTGTTCCAATTCCTTTTTCTTTTCATTGATAAGAAAAACGATGAGTAGCAAAGAGCCTTTATCAAGGAGTTGATCTCATTTCAATAAAATCTTCTCATCCTTATTCTTATAAGCTAAAGGTTTTTGTAGTCTTAAAGGACCACTATAGGCACCCAGCTTAATGAAGTGGTCTGGGTGCCTGGTCCAGCTAGGGTTAACCCTTTTTTTTATAAACATAGCAGTTTCAGAGAAACTGCTATGTTTACACTGAGGGTTAATCCAGCCTCTAGAGCCTCTAGTGGCTGTCTCATTGACAGCCGCTAGAGGCGCTTGCGTGCTTCTCACTGTGAAAATCACAGTGAGAAGACGCCAGCGTCCATAGGAAAGCATTGTAAATGCTTTCTTATGAACTGGCTGAATGCGCGCGAGTCGCTAGGACCCCAGTCGTTTCTCGTGCCTAGCGTGTACCATGTACTTTCAGATCTGAAGTTGTGGGTCTACCCCCTTCCAGCAGCGCTTGCTAGATGGTGAAAGTCTGCTTTGAAGGCATCAGAATCTCCTGCTTCCTCTGGTGGGAGAAACTGCCCACAGAGGTTGCCCATAATGGCACAAAGAAAAATAACATTGTGAGATTGCCTGCTCAATACAATCCCATTTATCAAAATAATATATTTCTGTAATAACTGGGGCTCACCCAGTACATGTAACAAACCTCCAGGAGTCAATCCAGTAGGGAGGTACAGCAGCCCCGACAAAGCGGGCCAAACATAGTAGCTGTATGAGTGCGCCAGATCAAACAGCCCATATTCTGCCCGATAAGGTACCAGGGAAGTGAGAATTTGGTGGGAGGTTCTTCCCCTGTAATACCTCAGGGGGGTATAATCGGGTAACGCGGGTCCATCATCTGAGCTGTAACAGTGACAGCCAAATCAAGCAGGTAGATCAGCTGAAAAATGTAAAGTAGGGATTCCTTTCAACTTCCCAGCTGATCTGGTGCAGTGTCACTGGGAGCAAGGCAACAATACTTACTGTATGAGCTGTAACATCAGCGGGAAAACTATAGTATGTAGTATCAATATCAATACTGGGCTGAGTTCATGAAGGAGTACACCCTCTAATAGGCAATCAGATCCTGTTGGACATAGGAAGGAGATGGGCTCGCCCTCCAATAAGGGAATCAGTATCCTGTGCTGTAGTAAACTGACGGAAAACAGAATAAATATAGGTACTTGGCTGTGCGTATGAGAGGGGTTCACCCTCTAGTACCGTAATTTGTAACAAGCATCGTGCCGAGTTATGAGAGGGGCTCACCCCCAATGGAGAAATTAGTATTGATATCCGCAGCTGGCTGCATTTATTAAGGGGCGCACTCTCCAATAATGTAATTAGTCTCCATATCAGCATCAGGTTGAATTTATGAGATGGTCGCACCCTCTAATAATGTAACTGATATCCGTATCGGTGTCCAGCTGATTTTATGGGAGGGCTCACCCTTTAATAATGTAGCTAGTATCAATACCAGTGTTGCATTGAGTTTCGAGAGAGGCTCACCCTCTAATCGAGAAATAGTAACAATATCAGTAGTGGGCTGAGTATGCGAGAGGGCAGCATCCTCTAATAAGGTAATAAGTAACCCTATCAGCATCCGGCTGAGTTTAGGCGAGGGCTGTACCCTCTAAATAATGTAATTAGTATCCATATCGGGATCAGGCTGAGTAAATGAGAGGATCTGGGGTGCCGGATGTTCCGGGGGTCGAAGAGAGGCTCGCCTGTAGCATCCAGGAACACCTCCTCATCCAGCAGAGAGGTGGGCGCCATTTGTCTCTGGGCCACATGGAGTAGTCAATCTCATCGTCGCCCCACCTGTCCTCATCTTCTGAGGGCGACTGGTCTGCCCGCCATTCGTCTAGGATGGATAGGGGTGGGCGAGTCTGTGACCACTTGTCTTGTGCGCGTCGCTGGAGTCTTGCCCTTCTGGGTGCATGGCTCAGGACCTTCACCCTTCCAGTAGTGCTAGGTGCTCTTGCCTGTTCTCTCCTGGGAGAGTCCGACTCTGCGGAGTCTTCTGCCATGTGGGGTGTCCCCATAGTGACCTTATTCTGTTGCACTTATGGGAGGGTCCTAGCCAGGGCTTTTTCTACCGAGGCAGCTACTGCCGCATTAATCGTGGCCTGTAAGCTTGGCTCTTGGGCCAAGGGGTCCATAGCAGGGGAGATGTAGTGTGACACCTATGGTAGAACAGGGCCAGTGTCACAAACAGAATAGCCGGGGCAGCACTCCAAATATTACGGCAGTGGCAAAATAGTTAGTGTTTATAAATATATATATAAATAGCCAAACCGGGGGTCACCCATTGGCAATGGCACAGTGAGAGCAGGCCAATCCTGGGGCACAGTCAAGGCAGGCCAATCATAGGACACAGTCAGAGCAGGACAATCATGGGGCACAGTCAGAGCAGGCCAATCCTGGATGCTGCAACAGTACAGCAAATCCGAAAACCAACATACGGAGCTATACTCATATAGATTAGTGACACCCCAGTGCATATCTATGTAACCCCAAGAGGATATATCCCAGTGTTGAGATAGGGGAGTGGTGGGTGGTGGAGTCTTCCCCTGTGTCAATTAATATACAGGCTGTACAGGGGAACTACCAAGGTGACCCAGGCCCAGTCAGAGGCAATAGTGGAGCAGGGGACACACTGCAAGAGAAATGCAAATAATACAGTGCCTGTCAGCATTCAATCTCCCCAAATTCAGGGTAACTATAAGCTCCCAGTCTGGCAGCAGATACTGGGGTGGGAGAGTGGCCGCAAGGCAAGCTGGCCCCAGCATGAAAAGTCCGGAAGCTGCAGCTCCCACGTGGCACCCCTGCTCTTACCCCTTTCCCTAGGCGCACACGGGCCGTGGTAAACTTCAACCGTGGCTCACAATGGGTAGAAAGGGTGCGGTAAGGGGAGAGAGGCTCTAACTGCTTGCGCAAGGACAATAGGCAGCGGGAGCAAACACGTGGGGCCGCCGGAGATGTACGCTGCAGCCCATGCTCGCGGGATCAGGGAGGCTGCTAGAATCCAGTCTCCTGCAATTTCCGAGCAGACACTACCAAAGACGGATACAGAACTGCCAAACTAGGTAGCTAGCAGGCAGAAGGAGAAACGCAAAAAAGACAGTGGATAGTCAAGGAAAAATGGAAAAAGAGGGGAAAATAACTAAAAGTAAAACGGAATCCGCCTGAAGAAAGAAAAGCAATAATCTCCATAATATAGAGAGCTAGATAAAACCTTGTAACAGGGCACAATAATGTGAATTAAATATAGGCACTAACAAAACAAGTTAGAACAATGAAAGCAACAATATAAATATATAGAGATATATACAATCCCACAGCCACCCACTAAGAGCAGGAGGCAGTGGTACTATGACCTGTGCTGATGTGGAGCAGCAAAGAAAGAGGAAGTTTTGTGAGAGGAGGGGAGTTTTATAATACCTAACTTTTTTCTGATTGGTTGTTTCTCTCTGTGTTAATGTGCTGCTGTGGAGTTCTAGCAAAGAGAGACTTAAAGGACCACTATAGTGCCAGGAAAACATACTTGTTTTCCTGGCACTATAGTGCCCTGAGGGTGCCCCCACCCTCAGGGTCCCACTCCCGCCCGGCTCTGTGGAGAGGAAGGGGTTAAACTTACCTCTTTCTCCAGCGCCGGACGGGGAGCTCTCCTCCTCCTCCCCTTCGGCTGAATGCGCATGCGCGGCAGGAGCTGCGCGCGCATTCAGCCGGTCTCATAGGAAAGCATTCATAATGCTTTCCTATGGACGCTTGTGTCTTCTCACTGTGATTTTCACAGTGAGAAGCACGCAAACTCTTAGCTGCTGTCAATGAGACAGCCACTAGAGGTTTAGAGGCTGATTAACCTTATTTAAACATAGCAGTTTCTCTGAAACTGCTATGTTTATAAAAAAAAAAAGGGTTAATCCTAGAGGGACCTGGCACCCAGACCACTTCATTAAGCTGAAGTGGTCTGGGTGCCTAGAGTGGTCCTTTAAGTAAATATAAAGCTTCCTGTCATGATATAAAATTGTTGGGGATACAAGGTGAATTCAGAGTGAATTTTACATTTTAGGCCAGATTTCCCAATACAGCTACTTTGACTCTAAATGTAAAATTCCCAATACTTCACCCTTTAGTAAATGCCCCTGTGTATCACCAATTCATTTCCCAGTTTAAAGAGTAACCTGTGTGAGAGATTTAGGGCCACCCTCCCACAGAGGGAGACACTGAGCTCTGTGAAGGTCCAGGTGCAGACATTCCAACAAAGCCTTCACTCCTGTGACATTCCATTTAAGGGAATCCGATGACGTCACTCCATCAGCATCCCGCAGCACTGTACAGGTATGTGGGCGTGTCAGGTCAAAAGGGGCGGGGTCTGTGTGACGCCTCGTATCGCCTGACGCTGATTGGCCCAGCGCGCGAACGTGGCCGCCATCTTTGAGGTGTCAGAGGTTCGGAGGGCGCAGGGTGGGAGCGGCTGGCAGGGCTGTGAGCGCGGAGTGCGAGACTCTCAGGTACCAGCACCCAGCACCCCGGGGCAGCGGCCACCAGTATGACACGGCACTGTACAGGTAAGCGGGGTCCGCCTCATACCGGGCTCCCTGTATGGACTGCAGGGACTGCTCCCACACAGACACTAACAGTATGGGAGAGACAGAGACAGACAGACACCGGCAAAGCACAGACACTAACAGTATGGGAGAGACAGAGACAGACAGACACCGGCAAAGCACAGACACTAACAGTATGGGAGAGACAGAGACACCGGCAAAGCACAGACACTAACAGTATGGGAGAGACAGAGACACCGGCAAAGCACAGACACTAACAGTATGGGAGAGACAGAGACACCGGCAAAGCACAGACACTAACAGTATGGGAGAGACAGAGACAGACAGACACCGGCAAAGCACAGACACTAACAGTATGGGAGAGACAGAGACACCGGCAAAGCACAGACACTAACAGTATGGGAGAGACAGAGACAGACACCGGCAAAGCACAACTATGGGCTGTCTGTTAGAGACACTAACAGTATGGGAGAGACAGAGAGAGAGAGAGAGAGAGACAGACAGACAGACACTGGCAAAGCACAAACAGTATGGGAGAGACAGAGACAGAGACACCGGCAAAGCACAGACACTAACAGTATGGGAGAGACAGAGACAGAGACACCGGCAAAGCACAGACACTAACAGTATGGGAGAGACCAGAGACAGACAGACACCGGCAAAGCACAGACACTAACAGTATGGGAGAGACCAGAGACAGACAGACACCGGCAAAGCACAGACACTAACAGTATGGGAGAGACCAGAGACAGACAGACACCGGCAAAGCACAGACACTAACAGTATGGGAGAGACAGAGACACCGGCAAAGCACAACTATGGGCTGTCTGTTAGAGACACTAACAATATGAGAGAGAGAGAGACACAGAGAGAGAGAGAGACACACACTGGCAAAGCACAAACAGTATGGGAGAGACCACAGCGAGACACACAGACACAGCCAGAGAGACACAGAGAGAGAGAGAGAGAGAGAGAGAGAGAGAGAGAGAGACACACACCGGCAAAGCACTAATAGTATGGGAGAGTCCACAGACAGAGAGAGACAGACACCGGCAAAGCACTAATAGTATGGGAGAGACCAGAGAGAGAGACAGACACCGGCAAAGCACTAATAGTATGGGAGAGACCACAGACAGAGAGAGAGAGACAGACACCGGCAAAGCACTAACAGTATGGGAGAAACCACAGCGAGACAGAGACACAGACAGAGAGAGAGAGAGAGACACAGACACCGGCAAAGCACTAATAGTATGGGAGAGACCAGAGAGAGAGAGACAGACACCGGCACCAACAGTATGGGAGAAACCACAAAGGAGACAGAGACAGACAGAGAGAGAGAGAGAGACACAGACACCGGCAAGCAAAGCACTAATAGTATGGGAGAGACCAGAGAGAGAGAGACAGACACCGGCAAAGCACTAATAGTATGGGAGAGACCAGAGAGAGAGAGACAGACACCGGCAAAGCACTAATAGTATGGGAGAGACCACAGACAGAGAGAGAGAGACAGACACCGGCAAAGCACTAATAGTATGGGAGAGACCACAGACAGAGAGACAGACACCGGCAAAGCACTAATAGTATGGGAGAGACCACAGAGAGAGAGAGACAGACACCGGCAAAGCACTAATAGTATGGGAGAGACCACAGAGAGAGAGAGAGACAGACACCGGCAAAGCACTAATAGTATGGGAGAGACCACAGAGAGAGAGAGAGACAGACACCGGCAAAGCACTAATAGTATGGGAGAGACCACAGACAGAGAGAGAGAGACAGACACCGGCAAAGCACTAATAGTATGGGAGAGACCACAGAGAGAGAGAGAGAGAGACAGACACCGCAAAGCACTAATAGTATGGGAGAGACCACAGACAGAGAGAGCAGACACCGCAAAGCACTAATAGTATGGGAGAGACCACAGACAGAGAGAGACAGACAATCGCAAAGCACCACAGTATGGGAGAGACCAGAGAGAGATGACACCGCAAAGCACTAATAGTAGGGCAAAGCACTAACAGTATGGGAGAAACCACAGCGAGACAGAGAGAGACACAGACAGAGAGAGAGAGAGAGAGAGAGAGAGAGAGACAGACACTGGCAAAGCACTAACAGTATGGGAGAGACCACAGACAGAGAGAGACACCGGCAAAGCACAACTATGGGCTGTCTGTTAGAGACACTAACAGTATGGGAGAGACAGACACCGGCAAAGTACTACTATGGGCTGTGTCTATTGCAGACACTAACAGTATGAGAGAGACAGATCAAGAGAGAGACACACAGAGAGAGAGAGAGACACACACAGACACCGGCAAAGCACTAACAGTATGGGAGAGAGACAGAGAGAGAGAGAGACACACACACACACCGGCAAAGCACAAACACTAACAGTATGGGAGAGACCACAGACAGAGAGAGAGACACTGGCAAAGCACAACTATGGGCTGTCCGTTAGAGACACTAACAATATGGGAGAGACAGACACCGGCAAAGCATAAACAGTATGGGAGAGACCACAGCGAGACAGAGAGAGACACAGACAGAGAGACACAGAGACCGGCAAAGCACTAACAGTATGGGAGAAACCACAGCGAGACAGAGACACACACACAGAGAGAGAGACACCGGCAAAGCACTAACAGTATGAGAGAGAGACACAGACACCGGCAAAGCACTAACAGTATGGGGGAGAGAGAGAGAGAGAGACACAGACACCGGCAAAGCACTAACAGTATGGGGGAGAGAGAGAGAGAGAGAGAGACACAGACACCGGCAAAGCACTAACAGTATGGGAGAGACCAGACAGACACCGGCCAAAGCACTAACAGTACGAGAGAGACAGATACCGGCAAAGCACAACTATGGTCTGTCTATTAGAGACACTAACAGTATGGGAGAGACGCAGAGAGAGAGAGAGAGAGACGCAGAGAGAGAGACCTGACTCCAGACATAGAGAGAGACAGAGAGTGTGAGCTGCCACCAAAGTGGGACAGACTCAGTGAGCTGCCACCAGAGTGAAAGTGGAGCAGAGTATTGGGAATCCTAGAGAGACAGGCAGAGTCTGACCTGACCTCCAGGAAGACAGACAGAATGGAAGATAGTGACCTCATCCCTGAGACAAGCAGAGTGCAAAAGAGTGACATCGTCCTGAGAGTGTGAGAGGCAGGCAGAATGAAAGTGTGTGACCTCCCCCCCCATCCCACGAAGATAGACATGTAGAATGCGACAGAGTCCTGAGTCTCAGAAAATGAGCAGGAGTGGAGCCTGCATGAGAGAGAGAGACCGGATTCCACCGAGATACACTCTGCGTTAGAGAAAGGCCTTATGTCAGGGACAGAGGACTGCATGAGAGAAATATGTTATACTGAGTTTATATACTGAATGTAATTATGCACATCCACTATATCTGACATAAATGCACTGCTTAATCTTGAACTTGTCTGTTCTAAATCACCGATTCCTGTGCACTCTTCTGATTAAATATTGCCAGAGAAAGGAACACCTATAATTATTATTGGTTCTCTATGTGAAGATTGTAATTAATGTGGACTCTCTCAGAGAAACAAGCTATACTCTGAGTGTATGACGTGAGAACTTTATGCCCATTCAGCATCTTATTAAACCAGTCATGTAGAACTGTTACAGTGCAGGATACACTGCGTAAAGGAAATAAACTGTTACACAGAGAAACCAGGTTTGAGGGCCCCGTCTCTGAGCTTACACTGTAAATGGGTGGGAGAGAGGTGGGTACACATGTTAAACACAAGGGAAACTATTGTTGTGTTTATACCTAGCAAAGGCCATGCCGTCCCAGTATGTGACAGATGAATGAAACCTGCTTTATTTTATCATGTAGACATTTACTATCTGATTGCACTAATCAGCAGAGTGTAAAACAAACTGCAACTGTTTCCATAATATTTCTATAAGCCTTAAAAAGCACTATATGCTAAAAGCACTATATAGGTGGCTGCACCCCTCCACCCCCCTTGCCACATTAAATTGGATAGAACTCTCCTTTACTCCAGGGCTACGTGGGTCTGCTGGAGTGGGGTTGGGCAAGTCAACACCAATGCATCTATATGGATCAAGTTCAGCGTCCCCATTCAAAGCTTGGAGACACTGCATGTTGTTCAGCACTTGCTAATGGAGCTCCTCTAGTGGCTATCTGAGAGACTGCCACTGGAGGTGTCCCTAGGGAGCATTGTAAACACCGCCTTTTCAAAGAAAAGGCAGTGTTTACAATGAAAAGGCAGTCTTAACATGAAAATACCTGCAGGGACAGGCCATAGATATCAGAACAATTACATTAAGCTGTAGTTCTTCTGGTGATTTATAGTGTCCCTTTTAAGTCCTAGGTTGGATCTCAGAATTGTGTATCTGTTGGTTTGCACATATATTAATCAGACGCCAGACATGCACACTAGTTCAGTGTGGCTACACAGCCTCCTTCACTGCAATTAAAGGGACACTGTAGTCACCAAAATAACTTGTCTAAGCAGTTTTGGTGTATAGATCATGCCTCCTGCAGTCTCATTGCTCAGTTCTGCACCATCTAGGAGTTTAATCACTTTGTTAATGCAGCCCTAGCCACAACGCCCTGCATGTGACTTTCACAGTCTTCCAAAATGCTTCCTGTAAAGAGTGATCTAATGTTTACACTTCCTTTATTGCAAATTTCATATTCCTTATCTCCTGCTCTGTTTAATAGCTTGCTAGATGCTACAGGAGGATCCTGTATGTAATTCAAGTTCAATTTACAGAGCAGGAGATAAAAACTTGTAAGGTAAGTTAAATCTGATTGAAATTGAGACTATTTTATTTTTATACAGGCTGTGTGAGTCATAGACAAGGGAGGTGTGGATAGGGCTGCATGGACATCAACACAAGTGATTTAACTCCTAAATGGCAGTGAAACTTCAGAGGCATGATCTATACACAATACTGCTTCATTAAGCTAAAGTTGTTTTGTTGACCATAGTATCCCTTTAAAAGTTCTTTTGTCCCTGGGAAGATTTTAAAGCAGAACTGTTACCTCTGCGTTTCCTAGTGCCCTTTCGACAAGAAACACTATTGGCACATTTACAGAGATGAGTTCTTTTGTTGAGGTAATTATTTTTTGTTAAAATACAAGAAACAAACCTTCGATGTTTAACATGTTTATAGCAACTTTGTTTCTGCATGATGATCCACTCTTGGGTGCTTGGTTATCTGTACAGAAATACTGAACAAGGAGAATCACAATTGGCCATTCCTTCAGTGGCATTGTCACTGTGAAACTTAATTTCTAAGAAATTGGGTTTGTTTACATTTTTCCGAGAACACTCCTCTCGTAGCTGTCATACTGACAGCCAGCAGAGGCACTTCCTCCTTATGAGCTTTGTAAATCGAAGGTCTTCATGTTTTGGTGTCAAACACAGTCAATATTTTCAATTGATTGATTCCTTCTCCTTAAGTATACATTCTAAAACAACCATTTTTTTTTTTTTTTTTTTGTAGAAAAGTGTAAACAGAGCCCTTTTTTATAGTTTTTGATTGGACTGTGCATTTTCTCTATAATATCAAGTTGTTGTTGTAGTGTGTGTTTTTTTTTTTTTTTTTTTTTTAAGATTTTTTTTTGTAGCTCGCCGGCAGACAGTGATCACAATACATAAGACAATGCGGTTACAATAAGGTCCTAGAATGCACCTTACAAACAGCATGTCAGTTGACAAGATCAGAGGACCAAAGCTTTTAGCAGGTAGTCTCTAAAAAGTCAGCACTGGTGTAGAAAGTTAAAGTATGATTATGGCTGGATGTGTAAATTCTTTGTCCAGGCAAGTTAGATTGAGCAGCAGTTTGACAGATAATTGTATAAAGTTAACTATTAAAAAAATAAAATAAAAAATCAATGTATATCATTAAGTTAGTTTCATTACCTGTGATTAACTTTTTTTTATTTTTTTTTTAAATTATTAAAGGACCACTATAGTGCCAGGAAAACATACTCGTTTTCCTGGCACTATAGTGCCCTGAGGGTGCCCCCACCATCAGGGTCCCCCTCCCGCCGGGCTCTAGGGGGCTGAACGGGTTAAACTTACCTCTTTCTTCAGAGCTCTCCTCCCTTTTCTTCAGTCACCGGCTAAATGTGCATGCGCGGCATTATCAATGCTTTCCTATGGACGCCGGCATCTTCTCACTGTGAAAATCAATGAGGCAGCCACTAGAGGCTGGATTAACCCATAGGTAAACATAGCAGTTTCTCTGAAACTGCTATGTTTACAGAAAAAAAGGGTTAATCCTATCTGGACCTGGCACCCAGACCACTTCATTAAGCTGAAGTGGTCTGAGTGCTTATAGTGGTCCTTAAAAACGAGAAGTTAGAATTATGACATTTGTCCTTTTTCAAGAGAATGTATAGTTAACAGAACCACTACATCCTAATGTAGTGGTTCTAGCACATATAGCCTGTCCCTGCAGCGTAAATGGTCTGTCCTTACTGAGTAGTGCCTCTGGCCACTTCTAGTGGCTGTCACTCTGACAACCAGGGACTTCCTGGGTTAGTTCCTGCAAAGATTTCAGGGCCTCCACATTCTATATGAAGTAGTCAGTTAATGCAAATGAGGAGATGCTTATTGTCTCAGACGTAGAAACCCAAGGGTATTTAAAGGGTTATTCCAAACACCATCATCACTTCAGTGATTTGAAGTGGTGGTGATGCCTGTAGTCAGTATGTGCTGCTATTTAGGCATGGAATGCTGCACATGTGTCTGGAGTTCAACCCCCTACTTTCATTGCACAAGACTGCGTTCATTGGATGAGAGTTGTCATTGGTCGCTCTCAGCCAATGAATGTAGACTGCAACTGTTTTAGGCTTCTGTAGCTTTGCAGAAGCCGGAAGTTTGTTTTCTGACTATCAGGGAGCCTCGCAGCCTAGCCTGAACTCTCTGGTTAGGGGGAAGACCATCGGTAGTCTGTTTGCCCCATTACAGTTGTTGTGGTCAGGGTACTCCTGGTATCATAACCATTACAGCAGGTGTTATATACTTTTTCTGTGAAGAAGAGTGTAACTGATTGGAGCACTGAGTCTGCAGCAAGCAATAAATGCATGCATGTTTTTCATTTCATTGCGACTAAATTGTAAAAATAAACTACTGATGCATTGCAGTGTCCTTTTTAAGATATGGGTTCTGACTGTATAATGTTTAATTGTTGGTCTTCCAAGCACAGCATGGCAGTCTTGTTCAAAGGTTGCAGGGTTAACACTGCAAAGGCCATTTGCTGTCTGAAATGGGTGCGTGCAATGGTGTGCTTATTGGTTGTAGAATGGTTTGCCTTCATACTGGGGCTCCCAAGGTGCAGATTGCTGCCTTCACTAGAGCCTTCAAAGAGCTGGAAGCTTTCTGTCTGACAAATTAACACAGGCTATCTGACAGCCTGTTGTGATTATCTAGATATATTCGTGACTTTGTCTAAAAAAAACAACCCATAGTACTTCTAGGGAATCTCCATTGATTATTGGTCGATGGCGAAACAGTTCTTTAGGGAGGTTTGGGAGCAAAAACTTGAAAGGGTTTCTCAGAATAGTTTAACTATTACTACTATTACTTGTTTCCAAACAGAATGACACTTAAAGCAGCCATTTAACCCCTAAAGTACTTTAGCCAGATGAAGTGCTTTATGGGTTTGGAGTGTTCCTTTTAAAAGAACAACCAAAATGCATTTTCATGCTTTTTCAGCGCTATCTTAGCCACCTGAAAATCCTGTAAGGTAACTAATGTATTCTCATAGTGGGGCTGTCTCTTCTCAGCATGTGACAATTCCTTGTTCCTTCACTTAAATAAAAATAAATAATTTATAAAGCATAAGCACGTAATAGAACATTTACAAAAAAAACAACCCTCCACTACCTTCCTGTGTTCAGAAGGATTTTATCCCTTCATGTTAACACACTTGCCTTGTCATCTACCCAGAAATGCTGTACGATCGCTACATGCTCATGCATTCCTCCAGTTGTGCTGAACACATGGCTCTACAGGGGTTAATTTATGTTGCACTTCATTCTTTAAGTAAAACTTGGTCATCAGAATTTACTCTTCCTACACTTTTACCCCACAAGCAGCCAGTCCTGCAACACTGTTTGAATGAAGTAATTATATAGAGTGAACAATAGCAAAGAAAGCTGTAATTTTACATAACTGTAAAGTCAAAATGCTGCGTTCTCATAAAAGTAAAGTAGTGTTGCATGTCCTCCACTCCTTTTCCCCCACCGCCCCCCCTTCACCCTTTTATCCCTATCTATTTAACTGTAGTTTATGTAATCCTAGTATAAAAGCATTAATATGGATGGAAAGCATTCGTTGATGGAAATAATGTCATTATCTCATACACTGATGCATGCCTTGTTCTGTAACAGTGGTGTGCTTCGCTGATGTAATACTCTGTAGCTTCTTGGAGTGCTTCTTGGCCCTGTCTTTATTTTTTAAGTGTGTGTGTGTGTGTGTGTATTTTGGAGAATTCAGCTTTGTGTGTATGGAGAGATTTCTTCTGTTGGTGTGAGGTGGCTGCTTGTGGTAACGTTGAGGAGATTGCATGTTGGTGTGTGTGTGTGGGGGGGGGGAGGGGGGGTTGCAACATTCACCAGAACATCAGCAGGCACCTTTTGACTTCCTTGTGGCCAGGTAGCGCTATCCGTGTCTCTCTGGAAAGTGTACTGATGTAGGTCAAAAGGGCCTGATTAGAAAGGTGCGCTAACGTCTGGGCTTCCTGGCCGAGTCAGTCCTTTGAGGTGGATGGAAGCATTTTAAATGCTAAATCGTATTAACCTTTAAAAAAATAAAAAAAATAATAAGAATTTGGTTTTAACTTCTGCTCCACCCCCAAGAGTGACGACCGTCTTACTTTCTGTCTGGAAGAAATTGGTTCATGTGTGACCAAGGATATCAACTTTGTTTGTGTTATCCACTAGGCATTCCGACCCATTTTAAACTGACTATTATTTCTCTATTACTGTTACATTCCATTTATGCAACACAAAATCATCACAATCACAAACTTCAGCTTAATTCCTAAGGTGATCATCTGTTTTGTTATTTTGAGTAGCCTGATTATTATTTCTATTTTAAAGGAACACTACAGTAGTGTCAGGGAAACAAACATGTATTTCAGACATTAAAGTGTTAAACTGTTTAGGTCCCTGACCCCCTCCAATCCCTCCTTGCATGGTGAAGGTGTTTTTACTTTTCTACCACTTTGTACCAGTCTTGACATGGTTGGCTCCACCTGCCCCCACCTTCATGGTTGATATAAGTTCTGATGATCTCTGCCAATCCAATGCTTTCCCATATAAACGCATTTGGAGGCTATTGCGCGTGCGCGGCAAAATGCTCCACTGCATCTCCTCATAGAGAGGCATTGAATTAATGCATCTCTTTGGGGAACGTTCAGCACCTCCATGCAGATCATGAGATCTTGAACTCCAGCACTGTGCAGGAAGCACCTCTAGTGGCTGTTTGAGTGTTTACATTGAAACCCCTTCAAGGATAGACTCTAGACCCCAGAACCACTACATTAATCTGAATCGAATGGCTATTTTTTTTCATGGCTGCTAATGTGGCTGGGTTTTTTTTTTTATTTTTTTCTCTTTCTGTTCTCATTGACGTTAAAGGAAAGTGTTTTTTATATTGGCCCACATCTTGGCCGAAGTACACATGATCTATATGCTGCGGACTGAGTAACTCATTTACTCTTCCTGTGTCTGTAGCAGGAGGTGGTGGTGGGGTGAAGGCACTGCTTGTAAACGGAAAGAAAGCTGCTTTCACGTTTGTCAGAAGTAATTGGCGCCTTTTGCCAGGTGTGTCAGGGTAAGGTGATCTTTCTTGGTTTGTCTGTCTGAGTCAGGCTGCTTCCAGATTTGTCTATCTTTACATTAAAAGGACACTTTACCTGAGGAATCCGTATTCTTGCAATGTGTTGCTAGCAGATTTTTATTTTTTTTCTATGTATCTGATGGACCTTTTTGAATATCTCTAAAATTATGGGAAATAACTTGTGCATATCAGGTATATAGGTGCAGTTTGTTTTATCTTTCTGTTGCTTTTTAACACAATCCTTCTCTTATTTTTAATTATTTTACCCTTTGGTTGCTTGAGGAGTGGTATCGGTTACTTATCTATAATATTTCCCCCAGATGGTTATATAACATACGCAGAAGACTTGTGACTCAGAACTGGGTGAGGGAATTAAATCTCTGCTTGGCTATTTATTTTTTTGTTTCTGTATCTCACTATTTTGTGAAATCTCATGTTGGGAAATGACGAAAAAAATATGCAAATTTTATGCCAAAATAACTCTGTAATAACTGAGCTAGCAAGAATGCCTGAATTTGAGTTCTTTTCCCCTCCCCTATTTAGCCAGTTTGGTCCACTCTCTTTTTGAATTATCAGCATTTCCAAAATAAGTCATTTAATGGCTTTATCTGTTCACTAGAGTGTGTGTTTTAATTTTTGTATTGTTTTAATAGGGTGACGTCGAGCATTATTCCTTTCAGAATTTATACTTTGGGTTATTTAGCAAATGACTGTTGTTTCATGTACTGTATAACTAAACTCCTCCATAAGCTTGTCGTGGCCATATAGCAGTTTCTATCTGGATATACATAGCCAGATTCACAGATTGTAGCAAGGTTGCATGCAGCTATAACCTTACCTGCTGACCACACATGCATGTGGCTTCAGCTTGGCACTGTCCATGTCAGGAGAGAGCGATATTTACTAATTTTGCGTGCAAAATCTGCATGTGTAAGTTGGACAGAAAAAAAGTATAAACTGTGTATGCAAGAGATCTAGAGGGGGCTTGCATATATTTTAACAAGTGTCTGCATTTGTAAGCCACTCTCAACAAGGAGAAAGTGTGAAGGGTACTCTCTGATCCTTTACGTGTGCAATGTTGCAAATGTCAGGTGTTTAGAATGACCTTTTTAAAATCCTGTTCCTGAAGGTTGTTTTTGGTTTTGTCCAGTATTCGTTCATTAGTCGTTGTGTTTGACACTTGTAATGGAACTGCAAGGTTACATTATTCATAATGAAACGGTCAGATAGTTCAAACGTATTGTAGCTTACTTGGGTATTCAAATGTATGCTAAATGATAGTGTAAAACATATGTTTTGATAAAGTACTCTTTTTGTCAGGATCCATGTGTAACCTAATCATTTTTAGGTTTGATCCGGACACAAAGCAAAACAAACTAAATTATATTTCTACTCCTTTCAATATATGAATGGGGGGGGGGGGGGGAAAAACTTTTTTTTTTTTTTTGTATTTGATTTTTGTTATAACCGATTACTCTTGGTTGGAGAAACACTTCTGAGGCTACTTGCTAAACCCTGTATTGTGAAGAATTGATGAGGAATTATTTTGTATTTGCATTTTGGGGTTAATTTATCATAGCTGATTTTTTTTTTTTTGGTATCAGATGGGATACCATAAAGACTAAAAGGTTTCCCTTTGTTCCACCACATGGTACGGAGTTAAAACATTTACACTCTCCGCCAGTGAATAACTGGTGCTAACATAGAAGATTAAACTGCCCTTTTACCAAATATATCATTGTAAATCAACAGGACCACAAGCACGTGACAGAACCACATAAGTGTCAGCCATTTTTTTAAACCGTTTGGCAGCTATATAACAGGTGTATAACAATCATTTGCGCTACAATATGCATACATGTTCTTTTGGTATAAAGTAAACATAATATATTTTCGATATGAATACAGTGCAAGAGAAACTCTGATAACAATATTACAAAGTGCAAGTTAACACACAAGTAAACCGAATAATATGTAACCAGCATTTGCTATGAGGAACATTTATGTGGCGTTGGGGTTGTGCTATTTTTGTTTACATTTAGTTTGTAATTTAAGTTCTGTCCTGGCATAGCAACAGCATAACATGCAATTTTAAAGGGACACTCCAATGCCCAAATATCGTCTAAATATAAATCCCTGTTTAGTAGATATACCACAAATAAAACCGTGCATGCAGTTAACCCTTTAGTGACACATGACAGAAATAAGTTGTGTCCTTAAGGGGTTAATTATGAATGGTTTTTCTTTGGAGTTATATCTAAAAAAAACACTTACAAAACCTGCAGTTCTTTTGTCTGCTTTTGAAAGCCCTCCCCTTCTAACTCCGACTGGACACCCACAGAAAGTCTATCACAGTCTTCCCAATGCAGCTGAATGACAACTCTTTGCAATGCACGTGGTCTAAACAGTTGCTGCTTCTTGAGTTTAGCTCCACTGAGCTGAGCTAACCAAACCATGAAGCAGCGGGATCTGTTGTCTGCTTTAAATGTAACCAGGTTAATTTATAAAAGTGTCAATTTCTATTTGAGATCTGAACTTTTTGAAAAGTGAAAGAGGACACACTCTTCACACACAAAGCTTTTCATTAAGCTAAAGTACTTTTAAGGGTCTGTAGTATCCCTTTAACAGTCACAAACACTTTATTAGGAATATTTTTGTATTTGATTTTTGTCTAGCACTGTGTTAGAAGCACCCTTTTGTCATTCTCCTGGATCATTTTGGGAGATTAATGTCTTTCTAGAGCCAAGTGCTACTTCACCAAGTTCTTCAGAGAAATTGCAGTTCCCATTCTCTAGTTTGGTTCGTGGCTCTATTTGTATGCATTTCATATGTGCTCATTTAAGACATAACTGTTTTCTCTGCATAACAAGTCAGAAAAAAATATTAAACATGAACTCTCGGGGCTTCTGTACCTTTTTTTTTTTTTTTTCGTTATTGATTCCCTTTTTTTTTTTTGTGGCATCTCTGTATTCTGTCCATTCTTTATCCCTTGGCCTTTTGGACAGAAAAGAACTTTGGCATTACTTCCCCTTATTTTCTTCTGAAATGAGAGAATGTTATGAATATTCATGTTAATTATGCACACTTTTTACAGAAAACCAGCAAAGAATGTTTTGTTCCAAATAGAGGGACTTCTGAATGAAGGGAAGTGACTGTTTCCCATTTTCCCCAACCCGTTCCTTGCTGTGCCCACAGTTTCTTGATCGAGGTCTTGTCTCCAAGGGGCAATTACCAGCAGCTCAGCACTGCGGTGGAGGAAAGCCCCTGGATGTGATCTGGGAAGGGGGATGTGGGAGAGCAGGCTTGTCCTGCGATTGTTTCTTTCAGAAGGAACAATGACCCAATGTTTTCTGATATGTTCAGCTGCAAAAACGAGTGCACTGATGGAGATGCTTTGTCCTGGTTCTCCGTTGCTCTGTGTATTGTGAGGCCACGTGCACATTGAAATGAAGAGCCTGGTGAACTGTGCTAAGAGGTGAATTGTCATGCTTGAATTAAACATTCATTTACTTTGGTTGCAGACATAATGAAAAACTGTATCTAACAGAGCAGTTTCAGTGCTTGTAAATGATTAATGTCCACTGATTTTCATGCTTAATCCTGTTCTAATTATTCAACCATAAATCTAAAATGATTATGAACATTACAGTGAATCAAGATTTAACCCTTGGTGAAAGGAGATCGGTCAATCTGGAAATTACATAGTTGAATAAAGCATTGAAAATCAAATTTAAACTTTTCTTTTTTTCCTGGCCTACAATGCTGTATTTACCTTCAAATCTGTACTGAAGATTTAGCAAATGACATCACAGAAGGCACAGCCAGGGCACAGGTTGCAAATGAGGAGGAGAAATAGAAAGTTTGTCCTTTTCTGCTCTATATGCTTTCCATATTAATTCGTACAGAAAAAAGGCAGGTGCTCGCTATAATGTGAACAGGTAGCAGTAAATCTGGCGCAGTTTATCACCTGTTGTGCCCCATATTCATTCGTGCCCCTCAGTCTTTATTTTTGTTCCCTGGTGTCCCCAGATGTCCCAAGGCAGCACAGCACTCGCCCATCATTAGACACGCTCACGCTGTGCAGCAGCCACCATAGAGGGAGGTGTTTGATTTTTACACAAAGATAATATATGATAACCTAGTTTATAAAACCCTGGGAAGTGACCGTTCCCGTTTAACTCTTCATCCCTTCAATGGGAAAGCTCTGTGACCGATATGTTCCTGTACTAATGCTTGTTCATTCCCCTCCTTCTCTTCTCTACTACACAAGCCATTTCCCCCTCTAACAACATTTGTGGTTTGTCTGCAAAAGAAGTAAGGCAGGTTGCTATAGTGTATTGTGTAATTTGCATTTCATTTCATTCTTCAGAGCTGCAAGTTTTCTGTCCATATCAAGTTTTCTCCTGTTTTTTTTTTTTTTTGTTTTTTTTTTGTGCTCATTGAGAACTAGAACAAGCTATCAGTGCTGTCAAGCCTTGTGTAAATGGTCCCTATACGGCGTTCATAGGGCAACCTCTCTCAGCAGTCTTTATAGGATTAGGCGCAAGACATGGGCTCATGGAAGTTTGGATTGAAAACCAAAACAAATAAAGAATTCTAAACACAAATAGGCCTCTTCTCTTTATATCTCCCATGACAACCCAAGTACTGGCTATCTGTGATGGTTAAATTACTTCTGTATCTTTTGGAGGTAATTGCACATTCTAATAACTGAACGTTACCCTTTTTTTTTTTTTTTTTTTTTTATTCATTTGTTCCAAAGCAGGACATCTTATACATAGCACCCATAACAATATCAATACAATTTCAAATAGGCATATACGCTGTAGTTTTTGGCTTGTAACATTATCAACATGAAAGCATATTCTAATTTGTATATATTACAGAGTTCGCAATCATGAAATGTTTTTGCCTGGGTTTTCCCAAGGGATGATTAACTTTTTTTTTTGTTTTTTTTGCAGTAAATAAAACGTAACTACCTTGCAGTTGCTTGCACTGAGAACAATTAGGGGTACTATATATATTCACACTTGTCTCTAGCTTCACTGTAAACCTTTGATAGTCCCGTTATGCACGATCTTACAATTGTAAGGAAAAGGACAGACGGTTCAAAAGATTGGAACCAGAAAAAAGAGTGTCCTCGAGGGTCCGAGGAAGTAGGATGAGATAGTTAGGGGTGGAGCTTTAGCAATTTGATTTGCCTTTTTATAGATACTTTCCGACTATCTCATTTTATTTTGAATTGTGGCATTCATTGCAAATTCTGAGTGTTTCTGGTTCACGGTAGTTTCGGTGGTTTTGAGTGTAAAACCTGCAGCATTGTCTGTGTGAGCTAGAATGCCAGAGGTGTAGCTTATAGCGTGTGTAAAAGGGAGATGCATATTATTTCTTTGTGATGGTGCAGCCAACTTTATTTTACTTTTTATTCCTTCACTCCCACGTGCATAAAGACCAGTATGCAGGTCTTACAATGTTCATAACAAAACAATGGGGCTAAATGGGATTGTTTTGGAATGGCTTCTTTTAAAGTCAAAACCTTAGCATAATAGAGGGCTAATAACTAAGTATCCCATGTGTGTTTGTTGCATTAAAAGTATAACCAAACCGAAAAATAATGGAGGAAGAAAATAAACTGAACAAACAAGCGTGCCATCAAAGATCCTTCAGATGCCCTGTTTATTGAGGCTGCCAGCAGCTACAGGCATCCCTCTCGCTCAATACGAAGAGGTCACTGTCCAGAGAAGTTTTATGGGATAAGTAGTCTATTCCCCCAAGGGCAGTTCCAGTCATCACATAGGATGAGTGGAACCGCATTATAAACGGATAGCCATATAACCACTGCTCTGTTTACATACTGTATGATTCACTGTTTAGACCTATCTGCAGTCTGTGCCCATACTCTTCCTCTCAGGAGGAGAGCTAGCTTGGCCCAAGTCGTGTATATGGCATGCGCGCGCACGCACAGCTTATACAAAACTGGTTGCTTAGGGCTGCATCAGTTTTATTTCAAATATTTTGTAAAACAATTTTGTCAAGTTGCTGTCATGCTTTCAGAGTTGGTGCAGAATACTATTTGTGCTATCAACTTCAATTTGATCTAAAGCTTTAATGCAATATTGGTATGGTACATAAGGCGACCCGTAACTACTTATAGTCGTTATAGGCAGATGTTTAAAAAAAAAAAGATTAAATTAAAAAAAAAAAATCTCTGCCTTTTCCTGCTCTTTGTAGAAGCTGCAGCACCCCAAGTGCATACAATGTTAAATATCTTACTTCACTGATAATTTTAGTGCATTATCTGTATAATTCATAAAAAATGGGTGCCATGGTATTCCTGTAATAAACCGTGCAGTAGAAATTTTATTTAAGTACACGCACACACTTACATACCTACTCGTTTCCTCTGCTCTGTTTTGTGACATACAGGGTAATGTGCCAGACCAGACATGCCTTACGTGGATCGACAGAATCGCTATTGTGGCTTCCTGGACATCGAGGAGCATGAAAATAGTGGGAAGTTTCTGCGCAGATATTTCATTCTGGACACCAGTCAGAACAGTCTTCTCTGGTATATGGACAATCCACATGTAAGCATGTGTATGTGTTGGTAGCATAATGTGGGGGATTAAACAGGTATAGTAGCAACTTTGGAGCAGGCAGCAGAAAATATTCTGAGTTCTGGGGAACGTTTTGTTGAAGTGTGAATCAGTAACGGTTCTTAAAACAGCTCCTGTATTGCTATTCGTGATGTGCAGCAAATATATTCCATAAAAATGCAACCGGTCTAAATTCATGTTGCAAAAGCTTTTTTTTTTTTTTTTTACATTTTACGCATTGTTTTTGTGAAGAGCATTCAGTGTTTTGTAAATTAAATTTTATAAATGATTGCAGTATTAAATGTCAGCGGTTAATCAGACTTCCCATTTTCAGATGTTATTTCTGGTATTTTATTGAGATCATGGTTCACAACAAAATAGCTTTGGTAGTCGGACTTATTTATTTATTTATTTTCACTGCAGAATATATATATATATAACCGTTTTTATTGAGAATGTGCACAATATTCTTATATTATAAATTCTATTTTTCTTAGAATCTGCCTGCTGGTTCCCCTTCTGTAGGATCTCTCAAGCTGACTTACATTTCAAAGGTAAGCATTGCATCACCAAAAATTGTCTCCTTTAAAGGACCACTATGAGCACCCGGACCATTATAGGCACCCAGACCACTTCAGCTCAATGAAGTGGTCTGGGTTCCAGGTCCATCTAGGGTTAACCCTGCAGCTGTAAACATAGTTTCAGAGAAACTGCTATGTTTACACTGAGGGTTAATCCAGCCTCTAGTGGCTGTCTCACTGACAGCCGCTAGAGGCGCTTCCGCGCTTCTCACTGTGATTTTCCTGACGTCCATAGGAATGCATTGAGAAATGCTTTCCTATGGACTGAATGGACAGATTTCCTATGGACTGATTGAAGAGGGAGGAGATTTCCCCAGCGCCGTGGGAGCCTGGCACTGGAGAAAGGTAAGAGTTTAACCCCTTCCTCCCCCTTCAGGCCAGCGGGAGTGGGACCCTGAGAGTGGGGCGTGGGGGGACCTAAAGACCCTATAGTGCCAGGAAAACAAGTTTATTTTCCTGGCACTGTAGTGGTCCTTTAAGACTTGCTTCTCAAACCTCTTAACAAATGGAAAAAAGCACAAATATTTGAAACTTATATCATACTTTTTGGATAGTCTGTAATTCAGGGGGGTTAAAACACAATCCCAGAGACCATTCCTGGACGCCTAAAAACTTTAATGCAGTTTGCCACCATCCATCCTGGTTTAACAGTATGTTTCAAGATTAGAGAGGTGCCTGGACACAGCTTTTGATGTCCAAATTGTTGGTGACCTGTATCACATCATGGCTGTGCTTGGACTCTTCTTTAATGTGCCTGAAGAGCCTGTAAAGCAGTGTTTTCCCACAGTGTGTATTCCAGATAGACTTTTTACTAAAGTTGCTTTATTCTGCGGTTGCATTCCTGGACATCAGTGATGAGGCTGTTGGACGCATGCATCACAGGGAAACCGCGTCAGAGAGCTTGGCCACACTAGAGGAGCTAGGAGTGATTTGGGACTGTGTGTTTCTGGGGACCCCCATAGACATAAAGGTAGATTGGAGAGACATGGCATTGGAAACACAATTGAGGGACATGGGGGATATTGGGCTGACATGAGAGGGGATTGGAGACGCACGTGAAGTCCGTGAGGGACATGAACTTAAAGGGACCCTATAGTCACCAGAACTACTAAAGCTTATTATATTTGTTCTGGTGAGTATAGTCAGTCCCCGCAACCTTTTTGCTATAAACACTGCCTTTTCAGGTAGTGTTTACATTTCTCCCTAGGGACACCTCCAGTGGCCACTCCTCAGATGGCTACTGGAGACGCTTCCTGGGGCAGTGCTGCACATTGTTCAGCACTGACGTTCAGCATCTCCACAATCTGCATGAGAAGATGCTGATTGGCCAGACTAGCGTCAGGGTATAGTGTTCCTTTAACATTATATAAGGGAATTTCACTTCCTAATTATCCCTTGAAGGGTCTGAACACAAGCATTCATTTTAGGCGTGTTAAAAGACAAACTTACAGTCTACCTTTTTTCATGACTAAATGTGCTCCATCTATTTTTGTTTTTTCTGTATAGGTCAGCGATGCCACCAAACTCCGTCCAAAAGCTGAATACTGCTTTGGTGAGTAGCATTGACTTTTTAAATTTTCCTGAACTTAATTTTATCAATTTGTGGCCTCAATTCACTTTAAATTCCAGACAATTTGCATATTTGTGAATAGTATTGGCAGGTCTCCATTCTGTTCTAAATGCCAAAATTCTAATATTCCCATTTCAGAAATGGTTGTCAAAGTACATATCACATGTCTGCAAAGATAAGTGTGTGTGTGTTAAACAAGTGAGAGAACATCTTTAAAATGTGAACGTAAAATTTATATATTCACGTCTTGCCTTATAAGGATGAAAAATGATATAACCTGTTGTAGACTGTCAGTAAATGCAATGTGTACTCACGTATGTGAGAACAACATGCATGCTTCTCAAAACATGACTCAAATTCCACTTCTCCATGGCCTCTGGGCTCCAGTGATTTAACAGAAAACAAGAAGAAAATGTGTGTGTGTATATCTATATCTACACACACACACTCACACTCACACTCACACTCACACACTCATTTGAGGCAACCAAACACAGCTTCATATTGCAGACTGCTGGTTTCTTCAGTTAACCATCATGTGCCGCTTGCTTTATGTTGTTTAGTTAATGCCTCTACTGTTTAGATCTGTGTGTAATTTAGCTGCTCATCAGAGGACCAGATTGTCACTACTGTAGAGAATGCCATATTAAGAGATTAAATTCAGACACAAACTCTTTTTAATATTATAATTTTTTTTAATTAAAATTTTAAGAAAAATTGGCTGCCTTATCAGTTCACAATTATTCTACATCCATATCCTTTCTCTGGATGTGAGATGTAGCATTGCTCTACAGCTCCAGCATCTCAGACATCTTGTGCGTGAGACTGACTAATACAAATTAAAATAAAAATAAAAATAGAAATTCAAATCCCTTTGTGTTTTTAAGCCTACACATTTGTCTAACTATACAAGGGTTAAGGTGTAGCATATGTAGAAAGCTAGCATAATGTACTTTGGTTTGGGTCTGTGCTCGGGAAGTATGAGCTGGCTGACTTTGCCAAAACACAGTTATTTTGGGAGTTCCTCTCTGTTCAAATAAGACACTTGGCAGCAGGCTGTGTTTGGTAAAGTTTAAAATATCTACTGAATGCACTGCTAGTACAGGCTTCTCCAGGTACTCGAACATTCATTTCAAATAAAAATACTTTTTTTTTTATTTTTATTTTTTTTATTTATTAAGACAATAACATATTCCTGTCCTGTTGGCCCTCTCGATTCCATCTATTTTAAGACAGGATTTCCTGTATAGATAGACCTATATCCTGCTGGATTTCCTTTGAATATAGCTCATTCTGTTTGCTGGTAGACATGTATTTATTTTGTTCCATTAGGGCATTTATCTAAGGGGTTAAATTCTGCTCTATCCTGATAAAATTTTACAATGATATAAAACAAAAAAGGCAAAGGTGGTAAGAGAAAAAAGGTTAGAATCTTTAAGGGTGTTGTACAGATAAGACAATTTTATTAATTTGCCCAACAAGCAAGAAACAGACAGATACAATAGGTAGGGAACCCTGCCCGTAAGCTTACAATCTAAAGGCTGGTAATATTCTTTTTAAATATTCCTATATTTAACAAATATGTATTTGTGAGCAGAGAAAAATTTAAATGTATAATGTGCACCTCATCATAATTCCTAATCACTGAGAGGCTTTGTCTTTGCACCTGTCAGCATTGAGAAAGCATAGGGGAGAAGAAATGAGAGTGTTTCTATTTCTCCTAATTTGCAATGTTTGCCCTAGCCTTACCTTGTCTGAACTGGATTATGTAAAAGAAAACTGAGCTTTTTATGAGGAATAAAAACAAGTCTGCAGAAGTTAAATGTGATTTTTCAATGTTTTTATCCCATGGTGTAAATTCTGGAGAAGTTAACATCCCCTTGTAAACAGACAAGCCACAATTAGGTGTCAGTCAGAAGACAACTGGCAACAAACTGACTTGAAGCATAGACTGATTTTATTTTACAAGATTAATGATTACCCATGTAAGGTAAGACTTTACAAACAGTACAGTGTGCATATAGACATTTAAAAAAAAAAAAAGCTTTTGTACAGCGTGCGTAAAGGAACTTTAAAAACCAAAACCAAAAAACCCAACCATTTTTAGCCAAAAAAACAATGGAATCCTCTCTGTAAGTCTCTGGGGTTTGTAACCCATCTGTACAAACTATGTCACTATTGCTTTTGAGAGAGAGAGAGAGAGAGCGCAAAGGTTGAAACATAAGAATTTAAAGGACCACTATAGGCATCCAGACCTTTTTTAACTTAATGAAGTGGTCTGGGTGCCAGGTCTTAGGGGGTGACCAGTGCTCAAAATAAAACCTATTTCAACTTAAACTAGAAAAGCTACAATTTCTGGGGAAATTGTGTGAAGTGTTTTTGCCTCCACCAGTAGTCTACAACTGGAGTGGCTTGAGTAACTGTTGTGTGGTTGGAGTGGCTGGAGTAACTGTGGAAAGGTTGGACTGGGCAGAGTAACTTTATGGAGTGGGCAGAGTAACTGTGTGGAGTGTTTAGCGTGAGTAACGATGGTAAACATTACACTAACCAATTGATCAAATTTAAAAAGTGCACATTGCAAGCTTGATAGTGAGAATTGCATTTCAACTGGGGAAATTGTGTGAAGTATTCTTGCCTCCACCAGTAGTCTACAACTAGGGTTAGAGCGATTATCGGTTTTACCGATATCGGCCGATATTCGGCAATATCGGTATTGGCCACTAAAGATACCGATATTGAGAAATGCATTTCAACTTTTATTTATTTATATAGCACATTTAATTGCAACTGTGCTTCACAGTTGCATTAAAACATACATTTATAAAAACATTAGCAGGTGTACAAAAGGCTCTTTCTAGGACATCACTTGCTGCTGCAGCCTGGCACAGGTCAGAGTATTTTGGCGGTTGCCATCTTCAAACGGTCGTATTTTACAAACTATAAATCCTACAGCGAAGAGCTTTATATTGTGAGAATCACAAGACCTAGTCCTACATGTTGATGCATAGTATGTCTCTGAAATATTAAAAATGAAGGCAGCAGTTTAGAAATTGCCCTTCAAATTTGAGCTGGCTAGAGTGGAGTTTCAATGAAAGTCAATGGACAGCGTGAGTTGCAAACAAATGGTCATAATGTGAAAACTATCAGGACTATGGCTTAGCCGTGGACATGTTTAGTGGCATTGTGTAGGTGGGATTAAAAATGAGGGCGTGGTGGCAGTTTAGAAATCATGCCCTGCTTTTTCCAGGTCCCACTCTAGTTTTGAAAATTTTGCCATTCATTCATATGGGACCAATTTCGCCACAAGAACGACGATATTCCGTGAACCATTCGGCGAAACATTCCACAAAGTAATAGCAATCTGTCAGGATTACTGTTTGATCCAGCACGTAGAACTGTACAGCACGGATGACAAATAAGTAACGTATTACCGGTCCTTAGAATGGCCGGATTTAACGTACAAAGAATAGTCAAAAATACTAGCCGAGGTCAGGGAACACAGAAAGGGACACAGCGATGAGGAAAGCCAGGAGTCAGGATACCAGAATATAGAGAAGTCAATAAACAAAGCCAAAGTCAAAAACCAGGTAGAAAACTATAAACAGGAACGCGCTCTCAGACAACCACAAGGGAAACCACGACAGGGCACTGAGCAGGCTGAGAACTGGGCCTAAATACCCCTCCTTTAGTTCTGATAGGTTGTAACCGGCCTTTGACCCCAAAGTCAGTTACCAGGTTTCATTTGCATAATTGCTGCTCAGCATTAAACCTTCTGTGGATTAGGTTGCTGCTCGGCACAACTTTTCCTGTGTGGACAGTAAATGTCATTAACCACATTTCTATAAGCGGATGAATATGTGACACAATCCAATCGGCAACAATCCGCACGTTTCTGTATATTACTGTCTATGTAGTGTAAAAGCTGTGGGAGGAGTTAGGGTGGTAAATTTGGCTATAATAATAACTAGAAAAGCTACAGTTTCTGGGGAAATTGTGTGAAGTGTTCGTGCCTCCACCAGTAGTCTACAACTGGAGTGGGCGGAGTAACTGTTATTTATTTATATAGCACATTTAATTGCAACGTTGTTGCCCAAAGTGCTTCACAGTTACATTAAAACATACATTTATAAAAACATTAGCAGGTGTACAAAAGGCCCTGTCTATGACATCACTTGCTGCTCCAGCCTGGCACAGGTCAGAGTATTTTGGCGGTTGCCATCTTCAAACGGTCGTATTTTAAAGACTATAAATCCTACAGCGAAGAGCTTTATATTGTGAGAATCACAAGACCCAGACCTACATTTTGATGCATAGTATGTCTCTGATGTAATTGAAGGCACAGTCGCAGTTTAGAAATTGCCCTTCAGATTTTAGCTGGCTAGAGTGGAGTTTCAATGAATGTCAATGGACGGCGTTAGTTGCAAACAAATGATTATATTGTGAAAACTATCAGGACTATGGCTTAGCCGTGGACATTTTTAGTGGTAACAGGGATAGCTGAACGTTTTGATATAAGATTTGTGTAAGTGGACTTCAAAATGAGGGAGTGGTGGCAGTTAAGAAATCATGTCCTGATTTTTCAGCTTTTGCCAGCTCCCACTCTAGTTTTGAACATTTTGCCATTCATTCCTATGGGACCAATTTTGCCACAAGAACGACGATATTCCATGAACCATTCGGCGAAACGTTCCACAAAGTAATAGCAATCCGATCGGGAACAATCCACACGTTTAGGTATATTACGGTCTATGTAGTGTAAAAACTGTGGGAGGAGGTAGGGTGGTAAATTTGGCTATAATAAGAATAATATATATGTGAGATAACATTAAGTGGTCTTGCTATGCAAGAACACTTAATGATATCATGCATTGTGCATGTCTTTGTTTGCAGAATCCAAATGTGTTCAACCCAACAGCCCCAAAATGAACCTCTTATTTATTTTTATTTTTTTTGTAACTGAAAATGTCTTTAGAACAGAGATCATGGTTTGGACAGCACCTTATAGTAAATTTTCTATACCCATTACTGTGGGTAATAAAAATGTGTAATTGTATCTTTTTTTATTATATATAAATGTAGGGAAAACACATCTGGATTTTTTATTTTATTTTTTATTGCTGGTTCCTAAGACTTACAGTTGCTTTTATACCAAAGGAGGGAGCGGCATGTAGAGTAAATAGCATTTCCCACTGTTCCATCGAGGAAAGAAGAATCTATCAAATAGTTGAGCCTTTTGTTTTGAAGGGCAGATTCCAACGTGTCCCTTGAAATCCGCTGTCTGAAGACCTTTTCTTGCATTCCCTACATACCAATCTGGGCATTTATCATCCCTATCTAGTATACTGCTTTGACAACATACAGGCTGATAACTAAAGTTTGAGAGTAACCCACTTCCCTCAAATATCACCCATATGTGCTGCTGCTGCACTAATTCAAAAGTGAACAGAATATTTTTTTATTTTTGGTTTGTCAAGATTGAAGCACTTTTTATAAAGTTAATAAAATAAATCAAGAAATACTGTTCCTGCAGACACTTAGCGAGACGTCGTGTGCTGGCATCCCTAGAGTTTAAGGTATACCCAGTGAGGTATATCAGGCTAAGCACATCGAACTAGGCCAAACTTGGTACCAGACCATCTGAGTGGTGTCTAGTGGTATAACAATGGAAGTTGCAGGAACAGAACTAAACTGAAAAATATAAACAATAGATGAACAGACTGCTTAATAGGGCCCCTGGATACTGCGGTACCCTAACATTAATGTAATGCGCTTCTGCACTACACAATGTGTGAGAGACAAAATAACAATAAAACAATATATAGTTAAAGACGAGCTAACAGAATGTGTATATTAAAGCATGACAGTCTTTAGTCAGACGACACGGCAACTGCCGTCATTAGAGTAGACCGTAGGCTGCAGACCTGCCAGCGGCAGGAGTGGGGTGTGCTCAGGTGAGGTGGAGCAGAAGCGTGGAGTTTCAGGTTTCCTCTCCAGCCACAGGCCTGTATGAGGGAGAGTATTCCAATGCCACGGACTCTGGTATTCAGTGGAACCAAGTCCACCCCCTTTCCGGGGTAAGCAGAGGGTCTAGGTGCTGTGCTCCGTTGACGGCAGACGATCCTCTGCTTCAGTGGCTGCTGCTTGGAGGCAATTAACAGTATGTGCTTGCTTGTTATCATTGCCTGTAGGAGGCCAGCTCTGCTCTGGTTGCTCATATCTCTCCAGAACCATCTTCCACTCAGCTAGGGTAGCTTGCTCACCCTCTAGGATCCTCAGCCAGCATCTCTGAAAGACCGTATCCAAGCATTGCAGAAAGGAGTCAACTAAGCCCCGTTGTGGCAATTAAGATGGACGTAACGGCAGTTGCCATCTTGTGGCTCAGAACACACGAGGTGCCGTCATCTTTTCTCTGCTTAGCAGAGGGTAAGAGCAGTGATTACAGCCCCATAATGTCCAGTCGGTACCTAGAGAAGCCCTGCCGGTCCAGAGGGGGATTGGGGAGATTGGATCGCAGCTGATTGAGTTGCAGCCTCTCCCCAGCTTCTGTCTCAGTAGGCCGCAGCAGCGTGGTTCGGGTCTCCAAAGGTGTTCAGGCAAGATTCAGGTATCTGTGTGATCATTCCAGGTCCCCAGACTCAAGATAGTGCCTTCTAATAACAAGTGGCTGCTCAGTAGTCCTGATTTTCCCGTCAAAAGTGGTTAGAGACTCGGGAGCTCACTTCTTCTGCCCTGCATGGAAGTCAAGCCCCACACTTCTGTCCTGCGTGGAAGTCAGGCTCTGCCCCCTTGAACAAAATAACTTTTATTATATCCGTGTGTCCTGTATGGGAACTTGTCGCAAATACTTTCCTTTCTGGGGGAAAAAAGCATGGATGGATTGACTTGGCAAACTAGAAGTGTTTTGAGTCTATTCAATTCATAAACTACTTACCACTAACCTTGTATATGGCTTCAGTGTAGTAAAAAACATGAATACAAATTAGAAACAACACACAAGGGTTTTAAAGGGACGCGCACATTGTGCCGTAAGGAGACCTTCATTTTCATTGCACACACTTATAATTGCAGTGTTTTTGGGCATGAGCGATGGTACAACACTGAGGTCTGAGACCGGTGGATCCTTAATGTACAATGTCTTTTTCCCTACAGTCATCACTAGTAACTGCTAGGTAAATGAAAAACACTTGACAGCTGTAGCTCTGCCTTCTGTCAAGAACTTGTCCCTACTCTCTTAGTATATCTTTTGACGGTGTTCGAATTTCACTAACGTTCCGTCATCATGAGTATTTCAAAAATATTCTATCTTTTTATAATACTCATCTTGGGAGGGAGGGGGTGTGACCGAGCCACTTTTAATGACATGAAATTGAAATGGCAATCTTCCAAAATGTCTGCATACACTACAATGGACTTTTGGTAAACAAAAGCATTCTTCTCATACCATTCATCCATACATCTTAATGTATGTATCCACTTTCCAGTCAGCTAAAATGACACGACTCTGTCACACTGTACTAAAGTATGTCAGATTTCAGTGTCTTCACTGGGAGATAGTCATCCATCAGTTATGAAGCATAGCAGGCAGCAATGAGTGTTATCTTGAGACCTGGTACATGAAACCATAGCCAGCTTTCTCTGTCAGAATGTTTTGTTCCAGATCCACTGAATCTGGTACAAAAAATTGTCTTTAATGTGATATTTGGAGAATTGCACATTGCAATGTGGTAGCAGCTAAGAGATTACATTTGTTTGCACAGTCAATCTATAGAACATTTGCACTTTAATAAGCGCTCCTATACATCAACTGAGCTTTTTCTGTCACCTTACCCAGGAGCTTCATGTGGTATACAGGTCATCTAAACTGTGCTGCCAGGACTTCTGGCCTGATTTAAATAAAAATGGTCACAGCACCAGCTACTTCCTTTCTTGGCCTGAGATTTTTAATTAGCTCTCCATTTAGTAAACCGAGTGAAAAGGTACTTTTTTATTTTTTTATGAATTGTGATTAGGTTGTTATGGTGCCCGAAGTGGTCCTCCTAAATATTTTATTGAAAATGTAATAGAAAATGGCACTTTTGTATTTTGATGACACCAGCTCTGTATCCCAAGTAACGTTAAAGCGGCTCTATCATTACATGCCTCAGAGTACAGTTCACAAGTGACAGACACCTGGCAGATGAAGATGATGGTGCTTAGGAGAGGCATGTCAAGGCATGTATTTTTGATTTCCGCTCCTCCTCGATAATCTTCACGAGGACATATCGCCATAATAAATAAATAAAAATCAAAGACCCGTCAAGTGACTTAACTAGTACTTAACGTGTAAATGGCTAATGTGTGAACAGAGGAGAAGGTGCTGCATGACTAGTGTTTGAAGTAACAACCACATCAATTATGTCTCTCTAACTCTGGAGAACCTGCACAAATGTCAGAATTTGCATTTTTACATTTATTTTATTCCCCTTTTGTTTCTTTATATAGTCAGCCCACAAAGCCATAACTATTGTGAAGTGTGTCTCCCAATCTAGATAGGCAGCAACAAACCGGACCCCAGGATTCTTTGTTCCTCTTTACTGCCCAGCACACATTCTACTTATTGTGCATGTAATTGAAGCTCAGAAATAATATCACTTTTTTTTTTAATTCTTTTTATATATATATTAAGTGCATTGCACCATTTGCATGGTTATTCATTATAGTGTGATTTGTCAGGAATTCAAATGTGAGTATCAAAGCCAAATTTCTTAAATAGAAAGCTAGCTGACTTTAAAGACTTTTTCCAAAGCATGCGATTTCATGTTTCGGATACATCTTGAATATTAACACAATCTATATATATATATATATAATATATTTTTTTTTTTTTTTGTCTCCTGCAGTAATGAATGCTGGCATGCGAAAATACTTCCTCCAGGCCAATGATCAGCAAGACTTGGTAGACTGGGTCAACGTGCTCAACAAAGCCACCAAAATTACAGTAAGCACTCCTTTCTCTTATCTCTTTAGTTCACAGGTTTCTTTAAATTTCTGATATATTGACTCAAGTTTATAGGCAGCAGTTACATGGAACAGTCTGTTTCTTTACAGCTTAGGTTCATTCAATAGAACAAAAAATTGACTCCTATTTGTTCTATCTATGTATGTTTCACAAAATTGGCACGTTTGTAAATTAAACCCAGTCACATCCCCTTCTCTTCGGCCAGACCAGACAATTGGTCGTTACTTCCTGCCAATTTAGCTCTGAGTACCTGCCTTGCAAAGATATCTCATTAAATTACATTGGGAAGTCTGACTGGACAGCCAGAGAGAGTCTGGGCTGGGGTAGAAGGAGGGCTTGCAAAGGCTGCAGACAAGAGAACTGCAGCTTTTTAAAGCTATTTTTAGATATACACCCAATAACAAAAATCTATATTAAATGCATGGAAGGTTTTTGTTTTTGTTTTGGGTTTTTTTTTTGGTGGTCGTTTTTTTTTTGGGTGGGGAGGGGGGACAGCAGTGCCGTGTCTCTTTAGAGTGTAGTTCCATGCCAGGTTTATGCCTCATAGGTTTTCACTCTTTCTGCATGTTTCACGTGCTACGAGAACTGCAGTGTGCCTCTTTGAGACTCTTTGGAACCAATTGCATTTTTTTTCAGTATTATATTTCATTACAAGCTTTTCTGTAGATCATAATTTTCTGCTTTCACATGCTGAATTTTAATTTAGCCTAATTTCCCTGCACATCACTCAGTTTTACCACCTGGACAGAATTACAGAAATGGTTTTACAGGTTGAAGTATGTTTGTTTTATGAGCCATGACGTTTTACAGGTATAAAGGTTTGTTTTATGAGCTATGAATAATGCAGCTGTGTGAAGATGACAGGCATTTATGGATATATATATATATATATATATATATATATATATATATATATATATATATATATATATATATATATATATATATATAATTTTTTTTTTTTTTTTTTATAATAGATCCCAGCTTGTCATTAAATATAGATACTTTCTGGGTACTGGACAGGAAGTTTAGTTTGCGTATTGTCTACCCTTCATCAAAATCTGTCCCAGCATATGCAACACTGCTTTGGTCTGTGGTGTATTTTATTTTTTTCCTTTCCTGGTTTTGTGTTGAAATGGCCAAGAATGGCTTCCCATACGTGCCAATCTAAAGTAGCTTTTCTTAGCAAAACGCTGCTAGCGACTTCCTGTGCATCTATAGTGATAAATGGTTCACTCATTGAACCTGGTCATCTGCGTCGGCATAAGTCATACCTAACAATGAGCTCCATCATTTTCCTATCAACAAACAATTGTATTGTTGGAATTTGTATCACCTTTGTAACGTGTCAGATCCACTTTAGGATAAGGCCTTATTTCATATTTCCATATGCGGCTTGTTCTGTTTCATTAATATTTTAAAGGAACACTCCAAACGTTATAACCACTATAGTGTTTATGGTACCAGGATCCCCACCCATGATAAGTAGTCAAACTGTATGCATGTGTTTTGACTTCTTACCTGAGGTCAGCCTGGTGCTGGTCAACTCCTCCAGGAGAGCAAGAAGCTTTCTGCTCGGTGGTCAGACCTAGGCCAGCGGCACAGAACTTGGCTCACTGGTTAGGAGCACTCATCTGACATTCACTGCAAGGCTTGACTCTGGGGAGCTAACAGAAGCTCCATACAGGAAGTTCAAAATATCATGGAGTCTCAGAACGTTGCCTGTAGACCCTAGGTAAGTTGTCAGTTTGCAAATGATTTGCCTACTTGCCCTGTGAGAATGTGAGGGCATATCTGGCATTAAACATATTACAGCATGCTGTGGTTGTTATGGTGCTTGGGTCAGTGCTTTAAATAAACCTAAAATTAATCTTTCCTGTGAATATTCATTGTTCTCTTTAAAGGACCACTATAGTGCCCTGAGGGTGCCCCCACCCTCAGGGTCCCCCTCCCGCCCGGCTCTGGAAGGGGGAAAGGGGTAAAAACTTACCTTTTTCCAGCGCTGGGCGGGGAGCACTCTGCTTCCTCTCCTCCTCCTGGGCTGAATGCGCACGCGCGGCAAGAGCTGCGCGCGCATTCAGCCCGTCGCATGAAAATCACAGTGAGGAGCACGCAAGCGCCTCTAGTGGCTGTCAATGAGACAGCCACTAGAGGATTAGGGGGAAGGCTTAACCCATTCATAAACATAGCAGTTTCTCTGCAACTGCTATGTTTATAAAAAAAAAATGGGTTAACCCTAGAAGGACCTGGCACCCAGACCACTTCATTAAGCTGAAGTGGTCTGGGTGCCTAGAGTGGTCCTTTAATTGTATACACTGCTTTTATTTTAGTTTGGTATTGGTAACCTTAATCTTTAATATGAATATTAACTTTTACTTTATTTTTTTACTTTATGTGTATTGCATTTTCTTTATACTCTGAACCTTGCAAAATATACTATATTTATTTTTATTTTCTTAGAGGTAAATACCCTTTCAGAGAGAATTGTTCTGACACACAAAGAAGACAGCACTTTCCTATCAGATTATTTTTCTACCCCCTCCCTGTTTCAGATGTGCAGAGTTCTGTGTCAGGCTTATATTTCCTGCTAGAAGCCAGTTTTACTCCCACGCACATCTGATTGACTGAAGAATAATCACTTTCTTGTGAAACCTCTTTGAACTGTGGAGACAGGCTTAAACCTACCCACAGAAATATGTGAAATGGAACATTTCAAAATGGCCTGTGTTCCTTCACACCTATCTTTAGTTTTAGTACTCTATATACAGTGTAGGCGTCTTTAAATGTGAAACCTTGAAAAAAGGGTTTGTTTAAAAATATTAATAAAACCAAAACAAAAAACTCAACATTTTTCCATCTTGCAAATTTATCTATATATTATTTCTCAAAAATGACCAAAATACACCTGACATTTTATTATAACACTTACTTGCCTTGCTCCCCTTCCTCTCTATTCATTCGTACTCCTGTAGCCATGTTCCTGACCTCGGCTAAGTGTGCCCTTTGCAAAATGTGTTCCCCTACCGCAATTAAAGCTACCTCAACCCTGATTTTTGACAGTTTTATCTAGTACCTTATTCCTTCGTTGTCCATGCTTCAGGCACAAAAGGGTCCCTTTTGGACTACACACTGAAATTACGTTTTGTTGAGAACTTGTTTGCATGCACTGAAATAGGTTGAGTCGAACCATTGTCTTCCTAAAATCATGCCCTGGGTGTTGTGACTGTTATTTTTTTCAGAAATATAGAACTTTGTAATCTTTAGAAAGCCTCAGTTGCTTCACAGAAACAAGTTTAAAATTAGTTTTACTGTCCCTTTAAAGGGAAAACTATCACTTAACCTAATTGTTTCTTGTCCAATTAAATATGTGCCCTGACAGCCACTGTTGAACTGAATTTAAGGAGTTACGTCAAGCACCTTAATTACTTCAGACTTGAAGTGGTCATGGTGCCTCGAGACTATATGGGCAGCGTTTTGCTTTACTATGGCTGCTGGGGGTGTAACTCCACCTCTGGCATCTTCATAGGGTCGTTATTAGCTAGCCAATAACAAGAGTTCTGGGCTGGCTAATATCAATTCTGGGCAACTTTCTTTGCACCATGTGCCAATTATTGGCAAACAGCAGTCAGCTGACACTCCATGGCAACTGGGTTGGAACTTCCAGGTTCTGCAGAAGCTGGAAGCGCATCACCAGGCATTAGAGGAGCCTCAGAGTTCAGCACGGACCCAGGTAAGAGGGGACATGGTTACTACCAAATGGTTTGTCCCATTACCAGGAAACCTTGCCAGGCTGTAGTGGTTATGATGCTAGGAGTAACCCCGTAATTGGATTGTGATCTGAGTTGCTATATATTTTGAGGAAAGCAGAGCATCTATTGAACATCCCTTAAAATTGTAGTTAATCTAATTTAAAAAAAAAAAAAAAAAAAAAATGTAACCGTATTTTAACATGTACATGGTGTGTCTTAACATATGTCTTCTTTTGTAGGTACCAAAGTCTTGTGAACAACCATGTCCTGCCGATGCCTTGAACAATCAGCTAGAGAACAGCAAAAAACAGATATCATACCGAACTGACATAGTGGGGGGTGTACCCATTATTACTCCAACTCAGGTCTGCATTTCAATGCCATAGTTTGGGGTGTACCCGTTAATACTACAACTCTGTTCTGTATTTCAATAGAATATCGGTGTGTGACTTTTTTGCAGTGGCTTTTAGATCCATCTGGCATTCATTTAAGGGGAAAAGTTTGAAACTGAGTTTTAATAGTCTTATTTTGCAGATTTCTCTGTTGTGTAGCAGGCTGAATCACGGACCGCTGTGTTCTGTTACATTCTCTGCACACTTCACAATCTTTCTTTCTCACCCTATGTTTATGGTCCAGTAGATGAGTAATCCGATTTGAAATAGGGAAAATATTTAAGGAGTGCATGGAAGCCAACTTGTGCTAACTTTGTTATAATCCTGAACAATAAGTCCATGTTTAGATTGTTTTGGATTGTATCATTAAATTTAGTTTTGTCATATCTGTAATACAATTCTCTTGTCACCTGTCATCCCCTTTTATTTATTTTTTCTCTGCAGCAAGAACTCAGTGAGTGTGCCAATACTGGTGACCGAAACAATCTAAAACGCTCCCAGAGCCAGCTCCCATCCTCCCCCTTGCGCCCTTCGGAGAGCAGTGCAATAAAGGCAGGATACTGTGTGAAGCAAGGAGCTGTGGTAAGCCACTAGTTGCCTGGCATTCATTGTGGGTGTTGGAAAATGAAAGCCATGGTCTATTTTAGTATTGTTCTCATGGTGCCTGTGTTACAAAGTTTCAGGCATTTGCAAAATGATGAATATAGATTTCAATTATGTAGCATTCTTTATTTAAAGCTAAAGCATTTCAGATTTTACAAAAAAAAAACATGTTTTTGTTTGTGGTAGTTCTGGCTACATTGAAAGTATGTGACGAACACCATAACAGTTTATTTGCACAGGTTTCCCTCTCTTCCAGCTCATAGCGTCTTGAGCCTAACATTATGCAAACATCTTTGTAGTTATAAGCCCACCACTGACTCAGTTGTGTCATAAAGAGAAATTTCCCCAGCACATCCATGTACTTACACTAGAGGCCACACAACAGGGTTTTCTGTGAGTTTTAATTCCCCTGTTATTTGAAGTAAAACTGAACTACCATTTCTTGAAGCCTTGGCTTCTGTGCAAGGATTTGTTATAAACTCAGAACTGCTTTAGAAAGTTATGGGTTAGTAATAAGGTCTCAACATTTCCTTTCACCCTTTTGTGTTTGGGGAACATTGTTATGTTATATTATATATATATATATATATATATATATTGCAAAGTTTATTGACAAAACAGTGACTTGTGATAAGTTACTGGCGCAACACAGGCCAAAACGCGCACGTGGAACATATTGTGCAGTTTGTTAATTTAATTTACTCTACTGTACTACTTAGTGTGCAAACCCTTTGTACAATTTGTAAAAAATTGTTTTATTTCAATTTACATACGTTAGTCCCGATCAATGTTTCGACCCATACAAAAGGGTGAGTGCCAAGGAACACTATATGCATATATATAATATTACACAAGATCCAGCGCACTCGCCCTATTTAGCCTTATACTGCAGAGAGTCCCAGATGGAATTTTTTTTTCCCTAGTAAGTGGGTTAATCTCATAAGAGCAGACATTAGGCTGTTAGAGTAGGACCTGCCAAAGATGGGGTACATTGATGTCGTGGCAGGCTTATGCAATGTATGATCATATAATGTAACTAAACCCCCATTATTTTTCCCTAGATTAGGTGTTTAAAAAAAAATAAAAAAATCTTTCAACATTGAAGTTGCTGTTTAGTGGATAGGGGAGTGCACTGGACCTTGTGTATTGTATAATTTGGCCCCCAGCAGCACCCCCATTTATGCATATTCCTTACACAAGTATTAAGGCCGTTTGGCCTGTATTTGTGGGAGGGGCTTAAATTAATTCACTCCCCTATATAAGGTACACCCTATACCTGACTCCACACCGAGCAAGGTCAGCATCTGAATGACCCTACCACCCACTCTTCATTTACAACACTTTCTTTTTCTTTCTATTTTCTTTACTTTTTATTACTCCTTGGTGGGCCCTCTTTATTTACAGGCCTACCGTATCGTCGGTATCGGCACACCATAACCGACTTTGCGCCAGCGCATTAGACCTCTCCATAGGAAACCATTGAAAATGCACAGTGTGAGGACGTCCAGTGACTCTATAGCACAGAAAACCTGTGCTATAGACCAGGAAGTGTCCTCTAGTGGCTGTCTAGTAGACAGCCACTAGGGGAGGACTTAACCCTGCAAGGCAATTATTGCAGTTTATAAAAACTGCAATAATTACAGTAGCAGGGTCAAGGGTAGTGGGAGTTGGCACCCAGACCACTCCAATGGGCAGAAGTGTCCAGAAATGGGCAGGAGTGTCCCTTTAAACATTCCAGAGAAATAGTGCCTTGTACAACAATATCTCATGATCTTATGTTGATCTATTCAATTAGACTAAATTGAGAGCAAAACCATTTAGTTTTGGTCCTATGACTTGTGGTAACCGAAATATTTCTTTATGTGGTTCTCATTTCCTTCTGCGTCTATATATAGTGATACCCAGATAGCTACATGGTTACAAACCTCAGAAGTCCAAGGTTACAAGATTTGCCATGTGACCAGCAATGCTTATAAAATATTTATGCTGCCGAGCAGTTATGGTAAACACATAAGTTCTTTTATTTTAAATCCATATTGAATTCCATCTGTACATTGCCCTAGAAGGATTGCTAGTAAATGTATAGATTTCGAGAAAAACAAAAAAATGAGTCGTCCCCATCCCCTCTCCTCCTCAACTGCTGTGGCCAGAAAGTGTATGCCCTCTTACGATCATGCAGCACTTGGGGAAACCTACAAAAACTAGCTGCCTGTAGTTTCACTTTCTGCTTGCAGTGGTCTTTTTCCTATCTCTTCCCTCCTTTAACATTTTTTTTCCTTTATATTTTACTGATTCTGAAAATTCAGTCCGGATCATAACTCTTTAAAGGAACACAATAGTGTCAGGACTTAAAACGTATTTCTGACACTATAGTGGTGGTGTAGGCTGTTTAGGTAACCAGCCCCACTCCAAAGCCTAGAAGAGAGAATTTTACTTTTGTTTTATTTTTTATTTTATTTTTTTCTATGCTGCACTGTTCTTGCTGCGGTTAGCCCTGCCTCCATGGCAGTGATCATACATTTTGATGATCTCAGGAAAGCATTGGAGGTTGTTGCGCATGCACAACAAAACACCACATTGCATCAATCTGCATCTATTCATAGAGCTGCATTAAATCAATGCATCTGTATGAGGAATGCTCAGCGCCTCCAAGCAGAGCGTGGAGATGCTGCACGCTGTGTAACACTGGACTAGGAAGCACCTCTACTGTCCTTTTGAGTGACTGCTACTAGAGGTGTTACTTGCCAGCAGTATAAACACTGCCTTTTTTTCTGAAATAATGGATAAATACTTCCTTTTCAGCAAATAGCCCAGATAGGATTTTTCTACAGTGATGTTTTGAACCAGGATATGGCTGAGATTTATTCTCTAATCCTGTATAAATGGAATTCAATATGGAGTTAAAATAACTTGTGTTTACCATAACTGCTCAACAGCATAAATATCTGATCAGCAGTACTTGTCAAGTAGTAAATCTTGTAACCTTGAACAATCCGTTATGTAACCATGTAGCTATCTGGGTATCACTATATATAGGCGTAGAAGGAAATGAGAACCACATAAATAAATCTTTCATTTACCACAAGTCAAAGGACCGAAATTAAATAGCTATAGTGTCCCTTTAAATATACGATCCATTTTCTGTTGGTTTGCTTATACTTGTCTCAGAGTAAAAAAAAATTAAAAAGGAAAAAAAAGTCCCTTCCCCACCTGTCATTCTGTTCTTCAGCATAGAGAATTGCCCTGCCTGGGTCATTGTCACCAACTAGGGCCAATCCTTTTACACTGCAGCTAGAATGAAGGAGTTATCAGTGGTGGATGTTGCACTCTATTAAGGGAATTAACTCATGTGGCAGGTGAGATTTCACTTAATGGCCATTGGAGTTATAGTAAAAACCTCCAGTTATTTACATGTGCATAGGGATTTGGGAGCGAACGCAACTAACTCTCTTTTCTTTGGTTTTTAACTGTATGTATTGGGGCTGATGTGTACTATGGTCATTGCTGCCACCTTGGAGTAGTGGGAGTTTGAGCGCAGGACTTTTTTGTTTATTGGAAAATAAAGTGTTTTAATTCCTCATACACATACTTATTCCAGACCTTTCTGCATAGCTTTGTAAAGCAATTCTTCTTGAGATTTCTGTTAAAAAAAAAAAAAAAAAATCCCCGCCTTTCAGGGTGCCGTTTTAATATTCACATAAATAATGAAGAATCTTTTTTTTATTAAAATTTTAGTTTTGTGTTTTTGTTTTTTTTCTTTATAGATGAAAAACTGGAAAAGAAGATATTTTATTTTAGATGAGAACACAATAGGATATTTTAAATCCGAAATGGTAGGTTCTCCTTTATTGCTTTATTACATTATAGGATGGATAAGCTGTTCATTTTTGGACTTTAAAATTTTTTTTTATTTTTTTTAAATTTCTTGTCTCCCCTTTATCACAGGAGAGGGACCCTCTCCGCCAGATACAGTTAAGGGAAGTGCAAAAGGTTCAAGAGTGCAAACAAAGGTGGGAAAATATATAAACTTTGTTGAACAAAATAAATACACCTGTACTTGTATAACTGCCCATAATACCTGCACCATGATACTAACCTTTCCAAACCATTTTGTGTAGCCTAGAATCATAAAACTTAATGTCTCCTTCAAAATATGTTCTATCCTAAATGTTAGCTGCATGTGCTTGTTTCTGGATTTTGTTACATTTGAGTTTGAATGGAGTACAAATTTGGTTATGTTGCTTAGAGGGCCCCTTTAAATTGAAATGTTCCTTTTTCATATAGTTTTGCTGGCATAGATCTCTTGTGTTTGCAGAATACACAAAGAGGCTTTTTGTTGGCCTCATGTTACGATATTACACTTGGTACACAAGACATGAGTTTACATTAGTAACATGAAGTGTCTTCTCTTGAATGCTGTGTTTAACCATATTTCTTTTTTCCATCTGTTTTCAGTGATAACATGATGAGAGATAACCTTTTTGAAATTGTAACCAGTTATCGAACATTTTATGTGCAGGTACAGTTTTTATTTGATGCTGCTAATGGACCATTAGACATAAATCCAAGAGACAGAGCAAAATTACTTTTTTAAAGTTGAGTGTTCTCATTTGTTTCGAATTCATCGAATGGTCGTTTTGAAAATGAAAGTAATAATAAATTGTAATATCTTTGGTGATGGTCTAGGAGAATTCATTACTTGTTGGATAATACATACCCCAAGATGTCACTATAGTGTAAGCCCGAGTAGTTGAGAATTGTAATGGGTAAATTTCATTGGTTGCTTTTCCTTTTTTGATGTGACTGTATTCTGTCTTGTCATCGCAGTTCTAAAAGTTAAGGGAATTATTGGCTAAAAGCTTGGCAACAATGAAACTGAATTATTTAAAGAGGGTCTAACTTTTGTTTTTCTTTCTTTTTCTTTAACACAGGCTGACAGCCCAGAGGAAATGCACAGCTGGATTCGAGCCATTTCCGGTGCAATTGTGGCACAGCGTGGACCAGCTAGATCTGCAGCGTCTGTAGGTATCTTCCTCCAAGCACATCATTACAATGCAGGCCAACGCTGTTTGTAACCAGTATTTCTCATTGCTTATTTATGGCAGGATAATGGATTCAATCTACTACCAACCCCTAATTTCCAGATATCTATGTTGTGTAATGTCTGCTTCTGTGTATACAATGTGACCATGTTGGCAAACCTATTCTGCAAGTTAACTTTCATGGTTTGGGGGGTTTTAACACATTATTTTACACATTTTGTTAATGAGTTGTTTTTGAATTTCGGTTCCTATAGTGTTAAAACAACCATCTACTCCAACCTTGCCCCTTAGATATAGTAAAATCTTACCTTTATTCCATTCTGCTCCATTCCAAGCCAAACACAGCCCTGGCCAATCAGCTTCTCCTCATAGAGATGAATTGAAACCATGAATCTCTATGAGGAAGGTCCAGTGTCTCGATGCAGAGGGTGGGCACACTGTGCAGCATTTCCCCAGAAAGCACCTCTAGTTGCCTTCTAAGGAATGGCTAGTGGAGGTATCTCTAGGCTGTAATGTAAACACTGAATTTTCTCTGAATAGACGATGTTTACAACAAAAAGCCTAAAGGGAATGATTCTACTCACCAGAACAAATTCAATAAGTTGTAGTTTTTCTGGGGTGTCCTTTAAAGGACTGATTTGGGAACCAATGTTCTAAAGTATGGATTGTTGGGGATACTAAGTGAAATGCAAAATGTAAATGTATTAAAAATGTAATTCACTTTGCATTCTGAGAACTCACATTTTAATGCATAACTCTGACAATGTTATCCTGGAAACACATTTACATATTGTGATGGGCAGCACACAAAATGTCAGCTTCCGGTGTGGAGAAACTCAATGCTGCACTCAGGAAACTGGTCACATGTGATTATAAATGCTACATATTAGACCAACAATTTCAGTACTGCCCATAATCTTGAGGTTTTATGTGTCCAGCAAAATCTATTTTTGGCAAGTATATCTAGCAAATGATTCCACCTTCAAGTATGTCGTGTTGGCAAAATCACCTGGAAATGTATTGCCAAGAATATATTTGCCTTTAAAAAAAAAAAAAAATTCCTGCTTGTGTCAAGATGGTCACATGGCCAGTGTGAATACTCACACCCACTGCACTTCCAGATGTGTGAAGCATCTCACCATGTTTGGCATGTGGCTGTATGCCAACAGTTATGAGATGTCACAATCTCACTCATCGGTAGGACAACTCATGAGCTTCTGGTCGTCATGTTTGACTGAAATGTCTCAAACTGAATTTCAAATTTTAAAGACAAAATAGCTGAACCGGAAACATTCTTCAAGTCCGCTTTCCTAGTTCTAGTTTGGCATTCACTTTACATTCCTAACAATTCTTTAGTAAATAACCCAGACTGGTTCAAGAATCACTACTCCAAGGAATGGTTCAAATGTGACTGCTATTTCTGCTTAAGTTAAACCGGGTAATTCCAAAATCATGAACTATTTCATTTATGCATATTCTTAGTTGGAGTTATACCTAAAACGCTCTTGTGCCTGTGACATGCTCTAGATACACAGAGCACTTTAACAAGCTAAAGAATCAGTCTACCTATGGTGTAAACTCCACCTTTCTAGCTATGTGTTTTCTTGTAGTATTTTCATTTCTCATTCCTTACGTTAAGGTATGTGAGCATTTAGTGTTGGCTTCGTTGTTAGACTAACACCTTTTTCCTGACATTACCTGGCAAAACAATGTCATGAATATGTATGGCCTGATAGAGATGGCATGATCGAGCAAAGGTGCATTTTCTTACAAATAAAGTACGTTGAGGTTGTTTTTTTGCAGTTGTAAAAAAATTACTCACAAGGTAATTATTTAGGGAATGTGGACAAAAAAACAAACAAGTGTATGTAACATAACATCTATATTTTGATATTTGTGGTTAAATTAGGCTACTGTTACAGTTGTCGTAAGTATAAACATAAAAACATTGTATTAATACATAAGTAAGCCTTAAACTCAATGCAATACGTTAAGATTTCTATTGTTTTTGTTTATGGTTTGGTTCCTTCTGTTTTCCATGCTGGTTTCATAGCTGCCTCCACTCACGTGGTGGGATGAAAAGGAAAGTGTTTCTTTGGGTCTGTTAGCAGCAGTTCCTTCCCAGGGCTGACCTCCTTGGAACTCCTACATTTGTGGTCAGACTGGTCTGATATTACATACACATTTTACCCTTTGATCTCTTCCACCCAACTAAAGTAGAAAATTCGGGAAGTTATGGTAGATTCTCAAATTTGTTGACTGTTTCTTGGCTTTGGAGACAGGTGTTAATTACAGAGTTTATGCATATCTGAAGAACGGTCATCTCCCTCATAGATGGCTAAAAAATTTGTTTACACCAACCCTGGAAGGGGACAGATTATCTGCGGGAGAAGTTTCAATCTCACTGTCTTCATTCAGGTGTTGTGAAATGCAAATAGTTCTCTTTACACCCTTAAAGGAATATTATAGTGATCAGAAGCACTACAGCTTTGTTGTGGTTCTAGTGGCTATAGCCTGTCCTTGCATGCTGAGTAGTGTAAACACTGCCATTTTATAGAAAAGTCGGTACTTGCATTACTGCCTAGAAATACCTCTAGTGGCAGTCACTCAGATGACCACTAGAGGTGCTTCCTATCTCCGTGCACCTACATTCCGTGTCTCCACGCACTGCATGGAGATGCAGAATGCTCCCCATAGAGATGTATTTATTGGTGCAATGCATATGTAATCACCTCCTAATGCTTTCCTATGGGAAAGCATTGGATTGGATAATAAAGATTGGTCTCCGTCATGGAGGAGAGACAAGCCACGGCGAGACAGGCGTATTGTAGGATAAAAGTTAAGTTTTAAACTCCTTTCCCATGCAGTTAAATAGTCTGACACTATAGTGTTTCTTTAAAAGGATACCGTAGATACCCAGACCACTTCAGCTCATTGAATTGGTCTGGGTGCTGTCACTTTTGCACCTAGTGCTGCAATGTTAGTTCCAGAGAAACGTCAATGTCTACATTGAAACACTAAGTATCCCAGACAGCCACTAGAGGGCTTCCTGAATTGAAAAAGATCTGTTGCGGTATCTGATGCTGAACGTCCTCTGGCTCTGCATGAGGACCTCCAGTGTTAGTTTTTTTTTTCCCATAGGAAAGCATTGATTTAATGCTTTCCTGTGCAGAGATCTAATGCAAGAAAACTATATTTGCTGCGCATGTGCATTAGCCCCCACTCGTGAGGGGGGGGTGGGGGGGGAGCGTCTCTCCATTGCCAAGGGACAACAATCCTGGGATAAGAAAAGTAGATAAAGGGTTTTTAACCCTTTATTTACCGGTGAGGCAGAGGGAGCTATAGTGCCAGTAATATAGTTTTGTATTCTTGGCACTTAGAGTATCCCTTTAATTAGATGTTACCAGAAAGCTTTAGCCATTAGCAAATAAATGACCAAGACCAGATGCCCAATAACACTGTCATTATACATGTAACAAACTGGTTACAGGTTTATTAGACATATCAATTTCTAGTTAAGACATATCTTTTTCTTAAACCGTTATCCATCAGACATATTGTTCACCTGGGTACCGGGTGTAGCCCTTTAATGTGTATAATCAGTCTGCCTTTTCCAATGATTGTTTGATTTGTACTTTTTTTTTTTTTTTTTCTAGTTTTGTTCGCATATTATGTTTTTTGCTTTTATTACCCTGTTTCTCAACCCTACCCTCCTCAAGGTTTGTCTAATTTCCAACCTGCCCTGTCTCCCCGCAGATACGACAGGTCAGACGCCTTTCGAACCCTTGTATTTCGAGGTACAGGCAGCAGCGCATGTCCACATTACTGACCAATCGCTGCCTCTCCCATCATGTAACCATGCCCACATTCACAGAACCATCACCCACCGCACATTAACTCTACGCTGTTCATCTGTGACCCTCGAGATGTTAAAATACAGCTCCCATTTTTTATCATCTCTAAATTCCTGAGACTTTGAAGGATTATGGGAATTGTAGTACATAATACTGGTGGTCCTCTGTTGTACAGCCATGCATTAACTCAGTCCACTGGTGCAGTTTGTGCATATATAACTCTATATGATTGTGCTTGCATGTTTTGTGTATAGACTGTAACTGAGCATGTACCACGTCTAAAATCATGCAATGTTAATAAACCTCACCTATTAACAGTGTGACCTGAAAATTGCTAGACAGATTTCCTGGAACCTTAAACCTTTGGTTAATGTAACTGCTAATGTATATATTATCAGCAGGTTATGCTTCCTTGACAAGTTGAGCCGTTATCGCTGATTTTGGCAGTAAGCATACTTAGAGTATAGCGGTCTGGACATGCTGGCAAATATAGCAAATATATCACCTCAGCACCTTTTGACTTGTAGGATCCATTTCATGGATTTTGGGGTATGCTAGGAGTAGACTACCCAGTTATTTTCAGACCTTTTAATAGTCCTTGAGGATTTCTTTGAGAACTCTGGCTCTCCAAGCTGCATAAATACTCCAAGCTCCATAATTACAAACCCCTTATTATATATGTTGTTCAGCTGTGATTAGAATAAATGCATTGAATGTCCATCCATGCTTCCTAATTTGCAGCTGCTCTGACTCACTTTGAATCTTATTTGTTTGGTTTTAAAGTTTTACCCATCCTCATTCACGGTACTGTAACTAATAATTCTCTGTTCTTTGCAGGAGGCCTCCACCTCACACTCTGACTTCAACCTTCCCTTTCGCGCCAGCAGTGTCCCACACTCAGCCGCCAGACTTCAGCTCTCTGACCCAGGGCCCTCTTATCGTGAGAGAGAGGAATATAGCACAGTCTCAAAGACCCAGTCAGGACATCTCAAGGTCCCGGCTTTCTCTGCAAGAAACGAGTCTAGCAAAGTAGGCCCCTACATGCCAAGTGCCCAGCATGTCTTATTTCCAGACCACGTGGATCTTGATGATCTCAGCCTGCCAGTCACTGATGTCTAAACTTCTTTATCGTCAACTACGCAGAAGAAGGGATCCTGGAGCAACATGCAGCTTTACCTATAGTTCATCTCGATTCAAGCCTCCATCTTCTGACCCACCTCTTGCCTCCAGTAGGTGCCACCAGATTTTGCTTTGACAGGCCTGTCACTGCATATGAGTGGCTCGTAGAAGCTAAAGACGCACATTCCCTGTAAAACTGTTGAACTTTCTTCTCCTGTAGCTGAAACGAGGGTTATAACTAGGATTTCCGTTTGTATGGAACTGTGACTTGGGTCACTGCATGTGAGCATGCCAAATATGGTGTAGAGTGCCTTGTTGCTCTTACAAAGGGTTATTTAAAACTGTTGATTCTGTGAGCTGTAAAATGTGGCATAAGCTAGACTTGCATCTAATCCATGAGTGATACAGAGTATGGGATTTTAACTGCTTTTAAATCTCTAACTCAGTATTTATAGTACTCATATTAATCTCTTTGCACCTGGAGAAAGATGCAAAGCAATAACCAGTCTCCTTGAGGGCAGAAGTAGGTAATGTTGAAATATGTGACCCTTCTTATATTTTGCACATTCTATGCCAGTGCCACAAGTGGAAAAGGCTGTCGATGAATAGCGTTCATGAAAACCATTTTTTATATCTATAGCCATATCTATAGAAAGATTTTATTTTATATTATAAAATCTGTAGATATAGCTATAAATATATATATATTTTATTTATATTTTGTTGTATCTACCAGGTGTCGGGTACCACCAAGAGCTGGATTTGTTAAAGCTATTTTGTATTAGAGCTCTGTGCCTCTTACATGGTTCAAAGTTGTTGTGGTTATTATACCTGGTTTATTATTATTTTTCTTTTGAGCCAGATCCTGTTTCTGCACTGTTGGTTTTTGTCTCAAGTGCCTGCTGAACTCTTGCTTAATTTTATTTTTAATTTTTAAGATTTTTGTGAATAGCTGGATATTAAGCGATCTGCTGTAGCCCTGTGCTTCCTTTCAATTACTCCTGGTTGGAAACGTGTTTTTTTTATTTCACATATCCCCCACCCCCCATTTTTATAATTTTTTGTGGGTGAGTTCTAATTTATAAAAGTCTCTTCCTAGATGTGGGTGGTGCATACACCCAGTTGAAATATAACTGTATATCACTTGAAATAAACGTATTAATTTTCAGTAATATTGTTCTATTTTTCTTTTAACCTTTTCGAGTTTATTATTCATTCCTAGGAGGTCAACTGAGGTTAAAGCTTCAAGGCATGTATAACTTTTATTGTTCAAGCTTAGTGGAACAAAAAAAATCTTATTTATTTGCCTATATAGAAAAAATAGGTTTTATATATTATACATGTGTTTGGGCATACACCAGTTACTATAGCCCTTAAATCAACTCTTGAGGTTTAAGACCTTCTGTACACAAAGGCTGGGATAATGAGCCAAGCAGGAAATCCAAACTTTATATTCACTACTAGACCGTGTTGCATTGTAATTTTATTTTTCTTGCGCATACTCTAGAAATATGGAGGGGTCCATGCTATACAAACATCAAAGCAAAAATACATATCGATGGGATTATAGGACTTTAAACATGCAAATGCTAAAGAGTGTGTGTGTGTGTGTGTGTATATGTATGTATGTGTATATATATGTGTATATGTATGTATATATATATATATATATATATATATATATATATATATATATATATATATATATATATATATATATTCTGGCCCTCGTACCTAATAACTCTACAGACACTGCCCTGGTGCTAACTCGAGGTAACACACATTTTTCACTGGTCTTATTAAAAAAAGAAAAGTGTATGTGTGTGTGTGTGTGTATATATATATATGTATATATATATATATATATATATATATATATATATATATATATATATATATATATATATATATATATTCTGGCCCTCGTACCTAATAACTCTACAGACACTGCCCTGGTGCTAACTCGAGGTAACACACATTTTTCACTGGTCTTATAAAAAAAAAAAAATGTGTGTGTATATATATTTTTTCAAAAATCCCCTGCACTCATGCTTTAACCACTTCACTGCCGGGCGCATATGCCAGGGCTCCACAGAAATACAATCCCAAAGTAGAAATGGCTGCTCTCCGGTCTTAAAAATATTTTTTTTTATTGAATTAAGTTAAAAATAACGACCAACGTTTCAGTCCCCGCTCGGGATTTTCCTCAGGGTCAAACAAGACGGTTGTCTTGTTCTTTTTGACCCTGAGGAAAGTCCCGAGCGGGGACTGAAACGTTGGTCGTTATTTTGCTGATGGGTTGCATAAACAACGAAACGGCTATCCATGAGTGGTACACTGACTTTGCATCTCTTCCTGAGTTGGGTTTCAAAGCTGTTGTATACAGCAAACATAAACTCCAAGGAATCCATGTTTAAAATGGAATAATGAGGCAAAAATGTGATTCTTTGTTGAACTTATTTTCATATGTCCACCCAGAATCCCTTGTGGTAGTAACATTACTGCAAATTTGAGGATTCTATGGGAAAAGAAAGTCTTAAAGGAACACTATAGTGTTTAGCAATACTTATTTGTGACTAGGGCCCCGTTCCGCAGTGAAAAAATGGTTAATCATTTATTTGCTTACCTTAATCCATCGCCGGGCTCCATCGACGTCTGCTTCCGACGGGAGCCGCATGCACTGCCATAGGCGCGTGTGCATTCAAACCCGCCCATGGGAAAGCATTTATCAATGCTTTTCTATGGGGATCTTTTTTGACACTGGACTCTGTGAGGACATCCATCATCAAATAAGTGCGATTTACTCTGTGTAAATCGCAGAAGCGCCTCTAGTGGCTGTCAGGGAGTTTCTCTGAAACAGTTTTCAGCTGCAGGGTTAAAACTAGGGGGATCTGGCACCCAGACCACTTCATTGAGCTGAAGTGGTCTGGGTGCCTATAGTGGTCCTTTAAGGCTTGACTGGTGTGTGCAGATCTGTGTCTAACAATGTATTGAATATTAATACGCAAAGAAAGAGTAGTTCTAGATTGTAAAGTACTCGCCAATACCCTCAAAGAATCATTCAATAACTTCACTAGCTACTAGGAGAAAATGTGTGAAGTTAAATGTACATGATGATGTGGCCAATCATAGTATGCTTATTAGGATACCAAACTAACCAATGAAGTGAAATAGAAGATAAATGTTCTGTGTGGTAATATAATCTCATACAAGGGTTAATTGATCTAGCATGGGGAAATAATGCAGGAATTGTTGCACATTTCACTTTTTACTAGCATAATAAACATTTTTAACTAATATTGAACAATATTGCACTGTAAATATCAAATTTCGATCTTTAGAATAAAAAATAAATTGTGGGAGAGTATCCTCGGGATGAGAATATCATTTTGCTGCTTTATAAATCGCTGGTAAGACCACATCTTGAATATGCTGTGCAATTTTGGGCACCTGTTCTAAAGAAGGATATTATGGCACTAGAAAGGGTGCAGAGAAGGACTACAAAATTAATAAAAGGAATGGAACATTTTGGCTATGAAGAAAGGTTAACGAATTGAAACCTCTTTAGTTTAGAAAAACTTCTCTACAGAGGGGATATGATAACATTATACAAATATATTTGTGGCCAATACAAACCATTGTGTGGAAATCTATTCACAAACAGGACTTTACATAGGACACAAGGTCATGCGTTTAGACTGGAAAAAAGAAAATTTAGTCTAAGGGTTTTTTACCGTAAGAACAAAAGGATGTGGAATTCTCTGCCTGAAGAAGTGGTTTTATCAGAGTCCATATAGATGTTTAAACGGCAACTATATGCATACTTGCAAAAACAGAATATTCAAGGCTATAATCTTTCAATGTAGGGTAATCGCTTGAAACAAGGATTAATCGGACTGCCATTCTGGGGTCAAGAGGGAATTCTTTTCCTGGTTTGTTGCAAAATTGGAAGTGCTTCAAACTGGTTTTTTTTTTTTTGCCTTTTGGATCAACCGCAAAAAACAAATGTGAGGAAGGGTTAACTTAATGGACACATGTCTCTTTTCAGACTATGTATGTGTTAAAGGACAACAAAGGAAAATGGAATGGGAGTCTAAGAAAATATGCGAAGAAGCAAAAAAACCTGAATAAAGTGCAAGTGGATATTACAAAGAAAATAAGGGGAGGGGAAAGAGGGGAAAGGAGTCGCTTTGCTTCTGAATGATTGTGCATGACATGTAAAAATTGGTAAGGATTTGTTTAGATGTCTGGGATGAAAGACATTCTTGCAACCATGTGTTACAAGGGACTGCAATAATTGCTTCTCAGGGTTAACTCCACCTCTAGGGGCTGTCTACCAGAGAGCCACTAGAGGGCTTCCTGGTTTGAAACAGACCTTTGGTCCGCTATCTGACGCTGGGCGTCCTCTTGCTCTGCATGAGGACCTCCGGCTTCAGATTTCCCCCCCGCCACCCTCATAGGAAAGCATTGATGTTTTTATGAGGGAGGGGTACACTGTAAGGATCTATAGTGCCAGGAAAACAGCTTTATTTTTCTGGCGCTATAGAATCCCTTTAAATAATGTATAACTGAAGCTATGGTATATTTTGTATACTTTTACATCCCCAAAAAAACATGGTTTGTCTCTTCATGAATTAGAGTAACATTTATTTGGTGTTGATATTCTGAACCATTTCTATTAATCTTTCGGGGTTTTTTTTTGGTTTTTTTTGCCAAATGAAAAATGTCATTGACAAAATGAAAAATGCGCAATAATCTGTTGCTGGTGTTGTGCCAATATATGTTTGTGGTCAAATTTATACATATATACATTAGCCTAGACAGGCACCATTGCATTTCCAGAAATTTGGATAAAGAAATGACTCAATCCAATTAAAAGATCAACATCAAAAATTATATTGAGTCTTATAGAACTTATAGCATGGATTGAATGCCAACAGCATGAAGTGTGACTATGAGGTGTGTATAGTTTAACATCTCAAATTACCTAATAATCTGTTAGCTATGGTAAATCCTTGTTATGAGCAAGAAAATTATTTTATTTTTATTTTATTTGTAATATCCACTTGTATTTTTTTTGTGTGATTTTATACACACTTGCACTTTATTCTTATTTTTTGCTTCTTCACATATTTTCTTTGAGATACTCCCTACATTTCTCATATTACATTCTCCTTTGTCATCCTCACACACATATAAAAAATAAAATAGTAAAGCTTTTAAACATGTCTACTTTGAAGCAGTCAATTTCAAATTGCGTTTACTGATATTTACAATGCTCCTACATGTGGTTCATTACTAGTTTAATTTTATTTTTCTCTTTTTTTTTAGTTATTATAATAATACATTGTGGTGCAACAATTGTTGTCGTGTTCTTCCCTTGCTAGTTCAAAGTATTTAACCCGTTATTTGATATTTTTTACTACATAGACTTTCTTTTTCTATTTTGCTTTGTTGTTGGTTTCGGTATAAAAGTCAACACACTATGCTGGCTCACAGCACAACATACGTGTTCCTATACACAGTACTTCCTCTTAGTAGCTGGTGGATTTGTTGAATGCCCTTCTAGGGAATTGGTGAGTTTATCCTTTTCACAATCTATAAATATTATTTGTTTTATTTCACATCTTGATAAAAAGTGGAGGTCGAAATGTTTATACTATGATCTGATTGTTTTTTTTGAGAATATACCTGTGAGTGCTCGCATTATTGGGTTTACATACGGACAGCCTCCTGGCCACCACCCACAGTTGTATGACCATTAAGAGAGCGTTGCTGAGCAGTTGTAATGATGCCGTACAGTTGGGAGGTATAATATTAAATTTGGACATAAAATGTGCAATAATGCATTTTGAAAATCTGGTACAGGTAGAAAACAAATTGTACAGGAAGGATGAACTTGATGGACGCAAGTCTCCTTTCAGCTATGTAGCTATGTAACGTTGTAGGCCAAAATTGGTTTTCAAAAAGTCTTACATTTTTCCATCTCTGCCATTGTAAACTAAAATGTTCAACTGCCTTGTGTGTTCACAACTTCAGGTTTAGTGAATAATTCCAATGCTGTTACATTCCCTACTAACTAACCTGTGATCAGGCTGGTTATCTGTGGCAACCCTGTAACTGCATGTGCCCTGGTCAGTTAGTGAAGACTCTTTCATAGTCTATGGAGACC